CTTAACCTGAAGCGCTATTTCTGGGTTAGCGGAGTCTGTAACCTGAAGCGTATGTAACCCGAGGTACCACTGTATTGGCGACTTGGACCTGGTTCTGGCTTGCTTATTCTGATTGAACACTCAGCTCGCCGCCTCTCGCCCTCTACGGACACATCTGGACATCTGTCTATCCCTATAGGCCGGGATTGCTCAAGACGCTTTTTATAACGCCCGGGGATTGTGTCCTCGGAAAGTGCGCTCCTCCAATGGGGACTCTCATTTGGGCCGGCTTCTGCCAGCGTCCGACTCCAAAATGCACAGTGTCCGCCGAACAAAGAAAACGCTGCTTCAACCTCAGCTGTGAAATGGGCAGGATAACATCTTATCTATTGTAAAGATAAGGGTGGGAATGTAAAGTCATTCGTATACCAGCAATGATTGCCACACGACAGACAATTTAAATAATAAAAGGTAGAGTCCACCCCCCCACCGAAAAACAAAAATATCGTGTGTTTTTTCCACATAAAGGATTTCTCTCAAAGGCCCATCTACACCCAGCAGCCTGTTCTTGCAGTGGCGAATTAGAAGCAGGACCTGCGAGTGACAGCAACTGCTGAGGCCTCCTGTGGTTGAGGCAGAACACAGCCATTATGGGCAACAGCCATTGGTAACCACTACTGGTGGAACATATCCATTGTAGCTAGGTGACATTGTCAAAATTTATTGGAACCAAGCAAAGGTGCTTCAAAAATTCAGAGAACAGAACCATAGAATTTAGATTAGTTTATTTTCTCTTTTTGTATTATGAAAAACTTAATTTTTTTTTTTAAACCCACTGCCTTAACAGCAGAAATACAGTGGTACCTCAGGATACATACGCTTCAGGTTACAGACTCCACTAACCCAGAAATAATGCTTCAGGTTAAGAAATTTGCTTCAGGATGAGAACAGAAATGGTGCTCTGGTGGCATGGCGGCCCCATTAGCTAAAGTGGTGCTTCAGGTTAAGAACAGTTTCAGGTTAAGAACGGACCTCCGGAACGAATTAAGTACTTAACCCGAGGTACCACTGTAATCAGAATTAACAAGAGAATAAAATATTTTCATAAGCTGAGAACATATCTGCTGCCAATGGTGGTTCATGGCAGGTGACAGTTGTGAAAACTCAGGCACCATGACCTGAGTCGGCACTAAGAAATGGCCAAAATGGTCTTGGATGAGGTGCAGTTAACATTCTTTCCATTCAGCTCAGGTGGTTCTCCTGGCCCTCACCTTGGGCTGCACTTGAAACATGGGAGGTGATGCTGCAGGCCTGGCTGGCTGGCACAGGGATAGCAGCATCCAAACTTCAGACCCAGGGTCAGGCTCAGTTGCATAAATCAAACACCCTCAGCTTTTAGAATTTCTCTCTCTCCTCCTTACTGTTTGAAGAATTACTTAAACTGCATTGGAAACTGAAGGATACATTTAGCTGGATAAAAAACTCTTGCCGACATTTATAAACAACAATAATTAGAGAACTGCTTTTGGACTTTTTGGGTGAAAAGGAAAATGAATTAATTTGAGACATTTGGGTCAGAAGATTGGGAGAATATTGCCTAATAGAAAGTAGATCAGTTTGACGTCATTCTAGTGTGAATAATTTCTTTTATGTAACTGACAGATGGAAATTTGGAAGTCCCTTATATTTTTCTTCTTTTTCCTTCCTTCCTCTTCTTTTCTTCTATTTCCCCCCCTTGGTGTCCTCTGCCTTGGGCCATCCACCGCTCCACCCTGTTCCCATTACCTCCCCCCCCCAATTTTCCTAGCCACTTCCTGGTTGTGGAGATGTGCGCATGCATGGTCACGCACATATTGAATATGTGTGAAACAGTCATTGCCTGACTTTCATATCTGACTTTCTTCAGTATTGTTTTACTCTGGGTTCTTTTATTTGGCGTTTTCATGTGTTGCAAACCTCTTTGAGATTTTTTTCTTTAAAATATATAAAAATGAAATGAATATAATAAAAGTTGCACCATCAACAATGGCATGGTTTTGGTCTGGTGCTAATTCTCGTCCTGCTTACAGCTCCATTCTTTCTCAGGTGTTTTGCCAGCTCGTTTGCTGGCACAGCAGCTGAACTCGTTGAATGTTCTGCTGGTACATCCACCGGCATATCTACCAGCAGTGGCGGAGCTTCATGCTCCGGCACTAGGGGGCGGAGAGCAGATGGGGCAGGGCTGGCGCACGTCCCGGTGCGCTCCCCCTGCACTCCTCTTCCTCCGCCAGTGTCTACCAGGGCTTCCACCATATTTTATTTTCCCATCAGGCCATATGACTGAAGCATAGGGCTACAGCCATGCTGGTTGGAACTGATAAGAATTGTAGGTCTAAAACAGCTGGAAGACACCAGATTGGGGAAAGCTGGTGTATCCCTTACGCATGCCTGCTATAAATACAAAGTAGCGCTTTGTGAGCTGTTTTATTGTTTCTCTAAACGAGAGCGATTGGCTCCATCTCGGCTGCAAATCTTTGCTAGCTGCAGTGTTACATTATTTCTCCTGCTGCTTTTCCTGGGCAAGTTGCTGGTTGTACCCAAGGTTTTCTAGAACATCTTGTACCTATCATTTTCTCATGAGTATAGTGTCTCTTTTTCCTGCTCAAATTAACATATTTTAATGCTTTTTAAAAGAAGTGCTAATTACACGTAGCGTGTAAAGCAGAATTAACAGGATAGCTCTGCATATCCTTGTGCAAATAGCCCAGGGTTCAGAGGGTGGCATGACTACTTTGCACATAAGACCCTGGCTGCTGGATGGGAGGAACAGTGGGAAGTATTCTGTTTCCCAGCCAGTGTCCTTGCCTGTCACTCCTGAACAGCTTCCCTGAAAGAAGTGAGCTCTGCATGGGTTCAAAGGTATGAATCATCACAGTGCTCCTTTTTTAAAAAAAGGAATTTTCATTGGGGGTGTACTTTTAATCTTTTGTAAAAATGCAAATTGCATAATGAAATAATACTAGAATTGCCCTAGAAGGTGGGAGATGCCTGCTGCCTCTACCCCATCACACTGACTAGAATGGATTTTGCTGGCTGGTCAGCCGTCTCAAACCAGAACTGCTTCCTTTTCATCACCTTTGCTGGCTGGGAGATGATGGGAATTGTAGTCCAAAATGGCAAGAGGGCACCAGGTTGGGAATGGCTGCTACAGAAGACTGCATCAATTGTTCTTGATATCTTCAAAGCCTTCGATGCAGCAGAGGTTGCATTCAAAGTTTGTGGGTACTTCAGGTTACAATTATGAAAGAGTGCAAGTTCTACACTCTCGAAACAGCTAGAACTAAAAAAGGTAAAAAAAAACCCAACTTACAGAAAGTTCATATTTATTATTGCCACAGGGCTCCTCAATTATTGTCACATCCCTGGGGTCCTTGTCCCTCATCTGCCCCCCACCAAGGTCACTAAGTAATTAGGTAGGTGGATGCCTAGAGTTATCCTAAAATACCCCCAAACCAGGGCTGCAAACAGATTTGTAGAAGGGGTTGGATTTTTGTCGACCCAATGCCTGCAGGACCCACAGACTCTAAGCTTTCATTAAAAGGAAAAGGAAGCCTGCTGAGGATTTCTGAAGAAACTTAGAGCACAAAAGGCAAAGGCAGCTCCAATGCTTCAGCACTCTGCAGGTAGCACCATTGCTAAGGATGTTTAATCACTGCTGCTATGGCAACAGAGGAAGGAATGTTGACCATCTGCACCTGAGACTTGGGAGGGGCTCCACCCAGGGAAGCAGAAAAAGCAGGATACTGGGCTAAAGCATTTTGCTCATGATCATTGTTCCATTCACTCCCTAGGTGTGCTGCCTTTACAGGGTTAAACAAAACAAAACAATTTATGGATTTTACTCAGAAGTAACACCCTTGAAATAAATGAGGTTTCCTTTCTGCTGAGAAAAAAAATGTGATACTATAGTCTCCCCCTCCTGATTTTCCATGTCTCCCACACAACCACCACTGGCCTGCTTGTTATCGTTGGGCTGATTTATTTATATACAGTCACCATAAAATGCAAAATGAATCTGCAGATACAACCATAAAATAATTAGACATCTTACAGCTGCTGTAGACTTTTAACATGGGGATTTTGCTTTAATATCAGTGGTGTCCAAATGTTTTTTTTGTGTGTGTGTTTTGCTGAGAGCTGTCAAACTGCTCATATTTGTTGCTTATTGTATCTTTGTCTCTTGATTCTCCTCCCAGGAGCTCAAGACTGTGAACATTGTCTTTCCCTTCCCCTTTTATCTTCACAGCAGCCCTGTGAGGTAGGTAGGGAAGGCTGAGAGCTTACGGGGAAAGAGATCTGATTGGACACCAAGTTAGAACTGCCAGTTTCCAAGTTTTGCTAACCCAACTCTGTTAGAGAGTTAGCAGCAACCAAGCGCCACTATCTGCCCAGTCCAAGGACAGCAACAGGAGATGTGATGTGCCCATTTTTTCTCCTTTAGCAAGATTTGGTGGTTTATCATTCTATGGTATATACTGTATTTTTCGCCCTATAGGACGCACCTTTCCCCCTCCAAAAATGAAGGGGATGCGTCCTATGGGGCAAATGCAGGCTTTCGCTGAAGCTTGGAGAGCGAGAGGGGTCGGTGCGCACCGACCCCTCTCGCTCTCCAGGCTTCAGGAAGCTATCCACAAGCCTGGGGAGCCCGTGGGAGTTCCCGCAGGGCTCCCTAGGCTGCGGATAGCAGCCTGCTGCCTGGAGCGCGGGGCGCGCTGAAGCCGCGGCTGGGGGGGGGGGAATAAATTTCCCCCTTTATTTCCTCCCAAAAAAACTAGGTGCGTCCTATGGGCCGGTACGTCCTATAGGGCGAAAAATACGGTATCTCAATTTTAACTCATGAGCTATTGCTGCAATCTTCTCCGATTGTATATTTTATCTTTATGAACACTGTTTTTATTGTTGTTATGTTACGTGAGCTGGTCTTTGACCGTAATAAATTATCTATCTATTCTATGGTATACCAGGAGATGGCAGCAGAAGACAAGAAAATACTTCCCCCTGAATTTTAGGAAAGAAAGGTAGGTAGCAGCTTTATACAGTCAGACCACTGGGCTGGCTAGTTCAATGCGGTCTACACAGGCTGCTTTTGGCTTTCTGGGGTTTGAAGCAAGGAATATTCCCAGCCCTGTCTAGAGATGCTTGGGACTGAACCTGGGACCTTCTGCATGCTCAGCAGATGTTTCAGCTCTTCCCTTATTTTCTTCCCTGTCACAACCTGAAGACCAAGCCTCCTCCTTCCCTTCTTCTGCAGCACAGAGAAGCTCCCCTCCAGCTTCTCTGGGGCCACATTTGGGTCTCTCCCACCCAGTGATTGTCTTCTCAACTTCTTGGATCTTTCCCCTGGAAGCAATAGCCCATATACAATCTTCTCTGCCTGTCTTTTAATCATGGTGGCAAAGGTGGCACCCAGAATGCAAAAGGACTTAACAGCCTGCAGGTAAATATATAGGGATGGGGATTCCCTTCTTATTTTTTTATTTAGTTATTTAAACCACTTGTATCTGCTTTTTTTAAATCAATGATTGCAAGCTGGTTTTTACGTTATAGCTTAGCATCTTTTGGATTCTTATATTCTCTTGGTACATTTCTTTTTCCTTTCTAGTTCAAATAATCATAGCTGTGATTTCTGATTACAAGGCTAGCACTAGACTGCACTAATTGCAAATCATTGCAGTCCTGAGGTTTTGATGGAAGCAATTTGATTTGACTCTGATGTAAGCCTGCAGAAATCTGATGATGCATCCTCTGCTTGCTCTGAACTAGTTAGAGGGGACAGCAATATCACTCACATACAGTGTAGATTCAGAAGTAAGTCCCACTGAGTTCAATGGGGCTTACTCTCAAGTAAGTGTGTCTCAGGCTACAGCTTTGGGTTGCAATCTCGTACGTACTTAACCTAGGTGGAAGCCACATTAAGCTATATGGGACTTGCTTCTGAATCTACATTGCATAGGATTTCGCTGTTAATTGATTCCAGTTTTTCTGTTTCCCATTCTGAGTTCAGATCTCCATATTTCCACATCAGTTTTCATCTTCTTCTTTTTTAGGTTTCATGAAAATTCACCAGCGGTGTAATATGAATTTTCTCCAATATAATAATTTCTAAAAGCAATTTCCCCTTATATAATATATTTTTGTATGTGCACATTTACACTAGTATATGATGTTTGTGCATATTTTTATGCTGTTGTGGTGAAAGGGCCTCAACTGATTGCTACCCTTTCCCATGTACTATATTAAGACTTTCAACATTAGCAGACATAAACTGAATAATACTATCAATACCCATTTTGTTTAACATCCATTTGTCTTGTGGTAGCAAATTTCAGAGTTTAACTATGCACTCTGTGAAGAAGTATTTCCTTATGTCTGTCAATCTCCCAACAGCTTGGCAGGATAGCCCCATCTTTTGTATTATTAGAAAGAGAATATATAGGTACAAATGACTATGTGTGACATAGGGAGGGAGAGACTCTGAAAAGGGAGGGGAGAGCCTGTTTTAAACACTCTCTTCAATTTCCCAGCTGCCTGAAACTGATCTGTAAAAAAATGTAACTTGAAAAAAGAGACATTGCATATACTTTTGTGAACCAAGAAACCTTTAATAAAATATATATTTAAAAAGAAAAGAAAAGAAAGAGTGCAGAGCTCTCAAATATTCCATTGTACCTTAGAATCATAGAATCATAGAATCATAGAGTTGGAAGAGACCACAAGGGCCATCGAGTCCAACCCCCTGCCAAGCAGGAAACACCATCAGAGCACTCCTGACATATGGTTGTCAAGCCTCTGCTTAAAGACCTCCAAAGAAGGAGACTCCACCACACTCCTTGGCAGCAAATTCCACTGTCGAACAGCTCTTACTGTCAGGAAGTTCTTCCTAATGTTTAGGTGGAATCTTCTTTCTTGTAGTTTGGATCCATTGCTCTGTGTCCGCTTCTCTGGAGCAGCAGAAAACAGCCTTTCTCCCTCCTCTATGTGACATCCTTTTATATATTTGAACATGGCTATCATATCACCCCTTAACCTCCTCTTCTCCAGGCTAAACATGCCCAGCTCCCTTAGCCGTTCCTCATAAGATATCATTTCCAGGCCTTTGACCATTTTGGTTGCCCTCCTCTGGACACGTTCCAGTTTGTCAGTGTCCTTCTTGAACTGTGGTGCCCAGAACTGGACACAGTACTCCAGGTGAGGTCTGACCAGAGCAGAATACAGTGGCACTATTACTTCCCTTGATCTAGATGCTATACTCCTATTGATGAGGCCCAGAATTGCATTGGCTTTTTTAGCTGCCGCGTCACACTGTTGGCTCATGTCAAGTTTGTGGTCAACCAAGACTCCTAGATCCTTTTCACATGTACTGCTCTCAAGCCAGGTGTCACCCATCTTGTATTTGTGCCTCTCATTTTTTTTGCCCAAGTGCAATACTTTACATTTCTCCCTGTTAAAATTCATCTTGTTTGTTTTGGCCCAGTTCTCTAATCTGTCCAGGTTGTTTTGAAGTGTGATCCTGTCCTCTGGGGTGTTAGCCACCCCTCCCAGTTTGGTGTCATCTGCAAATTTGATCAGGATGCCCTTGAGTCCATCATCCAAGTCGTTGATAAAGATGTTGAATAAGACCGGGCCCAAGACAGAACCCTGTGGCACCCCACTAGTCACTCTTCTCCAGGATGAAGAGGAACCATTGATGAGCACCCTTTGGGTTCGGTCAGTCAGCCAGTTACAAATCCACTGAGTGGTAGCATAGTCAAGACCGCATTTTACCAGCTTCTTTACAAGAATATCATGGGGCACCTTGTCAAATGCCTTGCTGAAATCAAGGTAGACTACATCAACTGCGTTCCCTTCATCTACCAGGCTTGTAATTCTGTCAAAAAACGAGATCAGGTTAGTCTGACATGACTTATTTTTCAGAAATCCATGCTGACTATTGGTGATCACAGCATTCCTTTCTAGGTGCTCACAGACTGATTGCTTAATGATCTGCTCCAGAATCTTCCCTGGTATTGATGTCAGACTGACTGGGCGGTAATTATTTGGGTCCTCTCTTTTCCCCTTTTTGAAAATAGGGACAACATTTGCCCTCCTCCAGTCTGCCGGGACTTCGCCTGTTCTCCAGGAATTCTCAAAGATGACTGCCAGTGGTTCTGAAATCACATCTGCCAGTTCTTTTAATACTCTTGGATGCAGTTCATCTGGCCCTGGAGACTTGAATACATCTAGACTAGCCAAGTATTCTTGTACTATCTCCTTCCCATACTGTATTTCACTCCTGGTACCATTCACTGTAGTAATTCAGAAGAGATGTTTTATAAACAAACAACCAGGGGCATAGGAAAGGGCAGGCCACCCCAGGTGCCATCATGGAGGGGGTGACAAATTATCAAGGAACAATTACTGCCCTACTAGGGCAGTTCATAAAAAAACTTTTTTTCTTTTAAAAAAATGCCTGTTCCGAAGGTCTTATCTTACTACACTAGGGATTATATAGCTATATATGGAATTTCATGCCTATCAGTTAATATCTTGACCCTCCTCAACGAAAATAGTTGTTTACTTGGCTGTTTTCCTATGTCGTAAAGGCTGAAATTTCAATTCAGTGGAGCAGGGTCAAGATATTAACTGATATGCATGACATTTCGGATATAGCTATATAATCCCTAGTTTAGTAAGATAAGACTTTTGGAGCAGGCTTTTTTTAAAAAAAGTTTTTTTTATGATCCGCCCTACTGCCTTACCCTCCACTGGGCTTCCTGGGTCCTGGGAAGTCGGTTTATGTGAAGAAAATGAGACTAGGCTTAGTAGATTAGGCCTTGCCTTGCCTTCTCTCTGCCCCCTACAGGCAGCCGATTTTTCCTGATTTTACTGCTGTGGTGTTTTTTCGCTTTTTGTTTTGGTAAACCACTTTGCAGATTTTTAAAAATTATATTCATTATCTATTTAATAAAATTTAATAAAATAACACAAGCCAAAACACAATCCAACCTGTAGATTTAAGTATCTGTCCATAGTCGCCTATTTGTTATCAGAGGCCCAGAATCCACATTCCTTTGTAAGAAAATATGAAATAACGTAAAACCATTTTTGCAGGCAAAAAAATAAAAATCAATGTGTGTGTGTGTGTGTGGGGGGGGTGACAAGAAATCTTCCACACCGGGTACCACCTGACCTTTGTACGCCTCTGCAAACAACACCCATATACGTACAACATCCATCAAGTGAATTTAACCTTCTCTAATTGAACAAGCTGACTGACAGGCTTCCTCTTAAGATTCTATTAATTTTAAAGATACAGTAACATATACAGTGGTACCTCGGGTTACATACGCTTCAGGTTATATACGCTTCAGGTTACAGACTCCGCTAACCCAGAAATAGTACCTCGGGTTAAGAACTTTGCTTCAGGATGAGAACAGAAATCATGCTCCGGCGGCGCAGCAGCAGCAGGAGTCCCCCTTAGCTAAAGTGGTGCTTTAGGTTAAGAACAGTGTCAGGTTAAGAACGGACCTCCGAAACAAATTAAGTACTTAACCCAAGATACCACTGTATATCTGTAAGGGTTGTGGGCACAGACGGGGCTACAGAATAAGAAAGAGGAAGAGATATGGAAATATAGGGAGATTGGTGTGCAAGGGAGTATTGAAAAAAATATGAAAGAGGAAAAAGGATGAAGGAGATAACGGTGTGTGTGTGTGTGTGTGTGTGTGTGTGTATGTGTGTGTGTGTGTGTATACACAAAGGGAAATATAATTTGAAGGGGGAAAGCAACAGAACCCACCTCTCTTGCAGAGACACCCTGTTCATTCTTCTTATGATGAAAACTGGAAAAATGATCTCTACCTCTTTGCTTTCAGGTTTGCGCACCAAAAGTTAGGCAATATGGAGGGAGCAGGGCCAGTTGTTTTTTCCCCATCCTTTGGTACTCTGGGATGTGGAAGAGATCAATATCTGAGAGAGTGCAGGAGGAAGCTCTTTGCCTGCTGGAGGAAATGGTGACCATGCAAGCTCCTCTTGTGTCTAGCTTATCTCCCCTCCAACCCCCCCCCTCAACCCCAAAAGCAGCCCCCCAGGGCAGGGAGAAGGAATTTGCTTAATTAGAAAAAGGAATGGGCTCTTATGTAATGGAAACCACATGAAAAGCTGCTTGAAACATTTCCAAGTTAAAACTCAGTTCCATCTGCACTCCATTGCAGCAGGATGAAGTGAAAGGGGAAATATTGTTAAACAGCAGCAACTGGCAATGTTAATTTCTTCCACATTCTGGATTACTGTGATATTTATTCAGTCCAGACAATGATTTTCAGGGGAAATAATATTGCTAATGAATAGCATTTCCTCCATCCCCCGATACTCAGAGTACGTCAAAGTACAGAAGCACTTGAGCTTGAATTTTGCCCAATCTACCGTTTGCTATGGAAAAGGCTGTCTTACATCATATTATATATGCTGACATGCCAATAGCTCTTCTGATACTTAGATGGGGTGATTCCTGTGGGTGAAAGCAGTGGATTTAGGGCTTGATGCAAAGCTCCAGCTGTGGATTGTAGTTCAAAAGTACATTTGTTGTAGAATGCATCAACAGGCTCCCCCTACTGATGGTTAACCCTGTTTAGACTCGAGGGGCAGAGTTGAACTTTGAGGTTTCTCCAATGCCTAAGCCAATACCTCTCACATGCTGTAATCAATAAAGTTGTGGCCTTTTCTAGCCCATTAACCTTAAATACTGTGTCCGTGTGTCTTTCTTATCCCCAGGCGTGGGGGGAGGGTCCTCGAATCACAAGTACATTTGTTGTAGAAAGCATCCATTTTCAGAATGGACTGTAAAATTTCAACAGACTTGCCATTGCGATGAGGTCAAACAAACCCCTGTGTTGCAAAGAGAACCATAACAAGTACCTTCAAACCATAACAAGTTAGACCTTAATTGTTTCATTTGATTATTTGTGTTTTGTCTGTTACTTTGCACTGCTCCTTTAATCCCAAACTCATGGTATTTGTAGTGTTACTTTGCACTGTACCTTTAAACTCAACCTCCTTGTTATTAGCACCACCTGGAGTTGGCTTTATATGTTTTTCAAAAAATATTGTTAGTAGCAGTGACTACATTATTACATGAGCGCTGTTCCATAGCATTTGATATTTTCATTTACATACATTTATTCGATATAAGATGGGGTATGTACTCTTTTTCATTGCTTTTTGTATTATAATTTTTGTAAAGTGATATGTGCATGCAGGTCATCGTTTGTAAAATTTTATTTTCAGTTTATGAAGCAATTCTATATCCTCCCACCACGCTGATGAAGAATTCTACAAAACAGTAGTCAATATCCGGAATCACTGTTCAGTGTTGGACATCATATTTGCTGAATACACAAAGCTTCACAGAATGTCTATCATCGCACAAAGTCTGGTACCTCGCTTCATTTAAAGATTTTCAGAAACTTTAGACTAAAGATTTCATTTTGTACTTGTTATGGTTTGAAGGAATTCTATAAAGATTGTCTGTTGCATATGTACATGGTCATCATGTTGCCTAGACATTGCTGACATTGTGATGAGGTCAGCAGTTGGCTCCACGAAGTTATAAGCACGCCCCAAAGCAGTGATTTCTGTTTATGGCTGCAGTAGCTATGAGACTCCAAGACTCCAAAACCATTAAAAGATGTATTCAGGCATCCAATTATGAATGATACAAAGACATTGTTGGGTTGTTCACCATGAGCACCAGATCTTATTTTGCTGCTCCTACCCCTTTTATTTGCCACAGCTAATGGCCGCAGCAGGGACGCGGGTGGCGCTGTGGGTTAAACCACAGAGCCTAGGACTTGCCAATCAGAAGGTCGGTGTTTTATGTGATTTTCTTTCTTTAAAAATGCAATAAAATATTTATAAAAAAAAAGAAGAAGGCCGGTGGTTCGAATCCACGCAACGGGGTGAGCTCCTGTTGCTTGGTCCCTGCTCCTGCCAACCTAGCAGTTCGAAAGCATGTCAAAGTGCAAGTAGATAAATAGGTACTGCTCCAGCGGGAAGGTAAACAGCGTTTCCGTGCGCTGCTCTAGTTCGCCAGAAGCGGCTTAGTCATGCTGGTCACATGACCCGGAAGCTGTACTCCAGCTCCCTTGGCCAATAAAGCGAGATGACCACTGCAACCCCAGAGTCGGCCACGACTGGGCCTAATGGTCAGGGGTCCCTTTACCCCTTTACCTTTAATGGTGGCAGCAGTAGGAATGTCCAGTTTTTTTTAGTGGCCTGGCCTGACCATCATTTCCCCTGGGTGTAGTGTGATTGTTGAGTACTGTGAAGGGAAAATAACAGTCACTTAAAAAAAAAAATGCAGCCACCAATATGGGGTGGATGTCAACCAGCATTCTCCACCCCAGAACAATGCTGCATACAAGTTTCTCTGGTTGAAGAAAAATAGTACCTCAGCTATTGAAGAAAGAGCAGTGCTTGCAAAAATGAAGATGTGTTGGAAAGGGAGGGCGAGTAGAGAGAATGATTGCTGCTATGAATTGCTATCTGCTTTCCTGAATTTCATTGCCCTTCATAAACCTCAAGGAAATCACCTCCAATTTCCAAAGACAATAAATGGGGCCAGAAAAACAGGGGCCATTTGGACTCAGACCCAAGATCTAGAGTGTCATTTCCTGCTGAGAACAAGCAGTTTCCCATTTCCTTTTAAGATACAATCCTAAATTCAATGATTACTGCTGGAATTATTGGTAGGATGGTTTCCAGCATACAGGTTGTCAGCCTATAAACTCTCTCCATTGCCATTCATCTCTTGCAAAGGGTCCAGGTTCTGTATCTAACAGACGAGGATGAAAATAGGCCACAAGCAGGATTTGTAGTCAAGCACATAGTGCTGCATATTTAGCAGATTAATTGCACTGCAGAAAGAATGCTGGAGAGATCACACCTTCAGGAAACCATGAAGAAACACAAAAATATCTTTTGCTTGGCTTTAATTAAAAAAATAAAAACTCCTCTTACATTAAATCTATAAGTATGGCCCATTCACCAGGGTACTGAGAGAGGTACACGCTGCTCTTTATATACTATACCCAATTACTGACATGGCTTAATTAACATAACCTAACAGCACCTGCTATACTGCTTCACAGCTGTAAAACTAGGTCATGATATTTACTCTGGCCTTTAAAGAGATACATATCTTGTGAAACAATAATGAACCTTAATACAGTGGTACCTCGGGTTAAGTACTTAATTCGTTCCGGAGGTCCGTTCTTAACCTGAAACTGTTCTTAACCTGAAGCACCACTTTAGCTAATGGGGCCTCCCGTTGCCGCTGCGCTGCCGGAGCATAATTTCTGTTCTCATCCTGAAGCAAAGTTCTTAACCCGAGGTACTATTTCTGGGTTAGCGGAGTCTGTAACCTGAAGCATATGTAACCTGAAGTGTATGTAACCCGAGGTACCACTGTATTTAAATAAACCATTCAACACATAGGAGAAGCCAACTTCTAGGGGCTGTGGGGGCTTTGGCCCCCACAATAAACTATTTGCAGGGGTCAGACCCCTGCCAAGTTGATGGGCATTGCCATTCAAATGGTGTGCGCGCACTGTGTCATGTGATCAATGATGTGGGGCGGGGCTTACCTGGGCCCCTGCAATATTTCATTCAAGTTGGCACCCCTGGTCAAGCACATCTGGTATTCCAGCTTCTGGAAGAAGGAGACAAAGAAGACAGGGCGGGCAGCATCTAGGGATGTTGGGGGAATCACTTGAAAAGTAATTATCTTTGAAGTGGTGCACCCAGGGAAGGAAATTGATTTGTAAATATCCGTTGATGGCTAAGATATGCATGTTTATCAGGTGCAGCAATATACATTAAAATTACATGTATTTTTCATCAGCAGACAATGAAAAGGAAAGGAAGATTTGTGCAAAAGACACCAATAATAGTGGAATGGAAAATGCTGGGTGAGAGTGCAAATGAATATTGGAACAGACTGTGACACAGTCATACATCTCAATGGGATGAGTTGCAAACCCAAGGATCCAAGCCTAGATCAGCAGTTACAAGAAGTTATAAAGGGCCTTATAATAAGCATCCCTTAAGAAGTGAGATGTCATGAACCAGATGCTCCAAAGTTCAATTTTCTATATACAGTAAGTCATTTTAAAAGCTGCTCTATGACTGTTTGGGGTATTCAGCCAGAACTTTTTTTGGGGTGCACTAAAAATATTCAAAATATCTAAGACTGTGCATATCATCTCAATTTCAGATGTACATCATTCCCAGAATAATGGACTACCTGCCTGTAAAACAAAAAATTATAGCTGATTGTGAAAAACTGTGTGCCTTCACCCATGAGACAATGGAGTTCCCCACATAGACAATGGATGCCCCAAACCCCCATGACTATATTGACTGCTTCCTTTTCACATCTGAGAAGGTAGGTAGAGTCAAAGCTTTAGTGGCACATTTGAAGATGTTTAAGGAATATATCCAAATTGGACCTAAATATGAATGCTACATTTGAAACCATACCACCATGTCTCAACACAAATTCCTCTTCTGGGTGTATCATTGACTGCTGAAGGCCATTGTGATGATTGCTAGACCACTGTCAATGTTGATTGTTAAATGTATCCCTGAGACAGGAATACGTTGGTAAAGATATGTGTTACAGTTGCTCTGTATTTGACTCTGCACACGCTTTAAAGTCTTAAAATGCATAAGTTTTATATTTCATGTGCATTCTAATAAATAGACAGAGATATAAAATGGTAAAGATTTTGATGCACCTTGGAAAACTATTAATATTGTTAGGACCATACCCACCATCACCATCACCATCATCACCATCACCATCATCATCATCATATTTATACCCCATCTATCTGACTGGGTTGCTGACTGGCTTCCAACATATAAAAATAATAATAAAGCTATACAGGGCTACTTTCAGATGTCTTCTAAAGACTGTAAAATTACACCTCCTTCACTCGGGGGGGGGGGGTCTCATAACTCCATACTCTCCAAAATTTCTCTGATGAAAATAGGGACGTCCTAAGGATTGTTCCTGGAAAATAGGGAAACGTGGAGGGTCTGTAAGGACTGCCTATCTTGAAATATTTTCTTGTCATCCCTAAACTTTTTAGACTTGTGTTTTTGTCTCTGGGTCATGTTGTCATACCACATGGCTGTTCCAATTCATTTTGTAAAAGTAAAATACTTTCTTTCTTTACTTCCTGCCTTTGATTTAAAATTAACTTTTAATGCTGTTGCCCACTCTCAAAAGGAATATATCTATTCTCTTGCTTGATTACTCTTACACAATTGGGTTGCCACAGGGCCTTGTGCTTAGCTACCAAGAATGTGAGAGATAATTATATAGAAGTTGCCCAGGTAAGCAGGTTCACTTGCTTGGGGTCAGGGGTTGTTCTTCCCTACTTCCCCTCTCTGCCACTTTGTTACATAAGGCAGGAAGCATCTTCTGGCTTTCTTGCTCAAGAATATGCTTCTTTTCTCCCCTACCTCCATTCGCCAAAATATTGCAGGAAAAGATGTGCCTAAGGAAGTTTGAATTACCTGAAAGGTTTTCTCACCGCAGGCATGGAAGCACTGACAGAGCACATTTCTACCTGTTACTTAATGCTATAGATGCCAGTAAATACCTTTGAGGGGAAGAACCCTTGAAGGAGAGGAAACTTGAACTTTCTCCTGCTTCCTCTGGCTTGGATTAAATTTCACCTTCATTTAAATTTCACAGCAAGAGAAATGTTCTTCCCCTGTCCATTAACTTTCTCTCACACACAACCCCCAAAAGCATTACACATGCCATTGCATGAACCAGGGGCATGGAACTGGTGACCCTCCAAGTATTATTGGATTCCACCCTTATCCCCCAGCCAGCAGGGACAATGATATAGGATGATGGGAGTTGAAGTCCAGCTGCATCTGGAGGACCATGGGTTCTTCACCCAATATAAATGAATATCTTCACATGTATAGTTTAATCTGACACTTATGTAGTCTTTCACACTTGGTTATGGAAATGGACCATGTACGTGAGTGGTTGATGGGCTTATTGTTTCTGTGTCTGTTGCTTTTATGCTTCTAGTTTTAATTCATGTCCATCAGTCTGTTATTCATGGATGATGTTGTTCTATGCCAGACTTTTCATTCCAAACGGGTGGCAAGAGTGTTTTGACATAGAACCTGTGGGCCACTCACTGCCTTGATGCACAGAAGGGGTGAGTGAACCCAAAATTTGACAACCCCCCCACCAGCCCTCATGCTGCCTAAGCATGGCACTAGGCATGAGGCTCTGGCAGCATTCTAGAGCCCTCCCACTTCCTTTTCAAAGTTGGAAAAGCACTAACTAGGCTTTGTGATGGAGACAGGAGGACTCTGGGACCCTGTCAGAGCCAGCCTTCATGCCTCCTTCCTAAAGCCCAGGGCCTTGCTTACCTGACTTTGGGAAGGAATTTGAGTGCTGGGGGGCCATCAGATGTTGCCAAGGGCCACCAAAAAGGACCTTGAGGGCTACGTGTGACCCTGTTTTGCTAAGTTTATTTACATGTTTTGTTGAGATAACATAAATATTTTAAGGCTCAATAAGATTACTCAGGAGTTTTTCCACAAAGAAACCTTAGCCCTAATTTTTAATTGATATGAAAATGTTCTAGAGGCAGGCATGGCAATAAGTATTTCTCAAATATATTAACTTACTACAAAAATATTCTGTTTCCTTCATCCATATCTTATGCCCAAGCTGGAAAATGCATCGGGTAAGAAACTTGTTTACTGGTGGTGAGGGCAGGGGAACATGACTGAAAATGAAGTATGAACGCACCAAATATCAACAGTGTTTTCAATATCAGATATTGATTGCACATTGGTTATTTGTACCATGCAGTATAAATTAATGCTTCTTTTCACAAGGGTTATTGCTTCACTATCTGTGTTGTAACACAGTTTCCGGACAGTGTGTTACAACATAGATGGAAAGTCATTATATTTCCTTTCAGAGTGGGTGCGTGGCTCACTTGATTTCAGTCAAAACTTGGTGGCATATTCAGAATTTATTTGCTGTGAAGTAGAGCAATTACTTCTAGATGCTGGTTGAAATCTGGAGATACCAGTTCAGATCTGACTAGGAATCTACTCACCGAGGGGTCTGGCCTATCATCCTTACCAGCATTAGGATGCCCATTGATGGATAAAAAGGTGAGGTTGTCCGTGATGGGAAGATGGTGGTGTTTGAACATGGATATTATGGTTTAATAATATTATTTCATGATTGCGTTAAAGAAAATGTACATTGTTGTCAGTAACATGTAATTCTGTACCCAACCTTGGTCTAGAGCTTATGTTGATGATTAACCCATCTTTCCTAGTGGAACACATACTGGAAATAAAAGAACTAAGATTATTTGGAGAAGGTTGGAGTTGGAGTTGGGGTTTGGCTGGGGCTCTAATAAGCAGCTGTGTTTTCACCTTGTCTTTCTTTAGTAGTTTCCTGGATATATTTGACCAAAAGAAGAGCCTTAGAGGAAGATGGAAGTGGCTGTAACAGGAGCTCTGTTCCTTCTCTGGGTTCTCTTCATCTTCATTTTCTATTCCTTCAAAATGTACAAGGAGAAAAGCCAGCTACCTCCAGGCCCCACTCCCTGGTTCTTCCTGGGGAACCTGCTGCAGAAAGATGTCATGCCTCTGAACAAAAACTATTCAAAGGTAAAGCCGTTTCTTGTTGCGGTTTCTCTCTGTTCCCTTGTCCCTGTGGCACGGCATAAACAACCATTGTCTGGAATGAAGCAATGTGTAGAGGAGGGACAGAAGGTTAATTGTTCCCTGGCTTGCTTATATACTTTTCCATTCTTCCTTATAATAAAGGCATGCTTTGAAGGGGCCCAGATTTCTGCTTCCTTTCTCTTTCCTTATTTTTATTTGTATTGTTTATTACTTGATTTTACTAGGTTTTGTTTACTGTTGGCATGTGTCTATTTTGCATGCTCTTTAGAGCTTCCCTGAATCAACTTAAGATCCCTCCAGACAATTGGTTTATTCAGCATTCATTCTGATTTGCTTCCACAAAGCTTAAACAGAAGTTACCATAAAAAACAATGTCAAAAAATTGGGGGCGTCTTATACATGTATACATCTCCCCCCATTTCCTTAATGGGAGTCCCCCAAAATAGGGGGTGTCTTATACATGGGGGGGCGTCTTATAGAAAGAAAAATACATATACATACATATATATATATGTGTGTGTGTGTATATCTACGAAAGCAAATATATATATATATATACACACATTTGTTTTCGTCTTGCGAAGCAAGCCCATAGGGAAATTTGTCTTGCGAAGCAGCTCAAAAATGGAAAACCCTTTCGTTTAGCGGGTTTTCCGTCTTGCGAGGCATTCGTCTTGCGGGGCCCCACTGTATTCATTTAAAAAAAGCGCAGCAGCAGCAGCAGCAGTAATATACATTAGATTTTTACTTCATTTTATTTTATTTATTTATTAAATTTCTATACTGCTCATCATCTGAGGATCACAGGGTGGTTTCCAACATGGAATTTTGAAACCATTAAGTTGCAAGCTAGCTGTAATCGGCTGTATGTGTAAACACACCCAGTCAAAGGGTAGTGTAGGCACATTGCCAAGCCCTGTCCCTTCCACTGCATGATAACTATAACATGTGAAAAGCTCTCCACTACTCATGGAGACTCTTACAGAATTTAAAACCCTGATTGTGGTTGGCAGGTCACATGGGAGTAAATAATTGTACTGTAATCCATAACAGTATTGTACTGTAATCCACATAATTGTTAGAAGATCACTTAGGGCAGTTGTAACCAAATATGAGGGACGCAGGTGGCGCTGTGGTCTAAACCACTGAGCCTAGGGTTTGCCGATCAGAAGGTAGGTGTTTCGAATCCCCACAACAGGGTGGGCTCCTGTTGTTCGGTCCCAGCTCCTGCCCACCTAGCAGTTCGAAAGCACACCAGTGCAAGTAGATAAATAAGTACCACTCCAGTGAGAAGGTAAACGGCGTTTCGGTGTGCTGCTCTGGTTCGCTAGAAGTGGCCTAGTCATGCTGGCCACATGACCCGGAAGCTGTCTGTGGACCAACGCCCACTCCCTCAGCGTATAGAGCGAGATGAGCACCGCAACCCCAGAGTCGTCCGCTACTGCACCTAATGGTCAGGGGTACCTTTACCTTTAACCAAATGTGATAAATAACAAGCTGAAGCCGAACCAGGAAGCATGTCAAGAAGCATGGCCCCGTGTTCATTGATTGGCCTGGGCATAATTATATGGTTATGCTTTAGAGATATGAAGCAGTGGTTGATCATACTGAAATGTATGATGTGATAACTATTGCAGTGTCATACCTGTTAAAGGGGCAGCTAAATTTCTTTTCTTCACGTGCCTGTCTTGCAAAGTGAATCAAATATCTGATGAAGTTGGTGGGGCTGAACATAAGATTTATTTCACAAGATTCTCTTTCTTTTATGGAGGCAGTTCAAAATGTGGTTTCGCCTCATTTAGGAACAGCCTTCTAGCAGCCCATTCTCTAAGGAGCCATCCAGGTGTCCTTTTTATTACGCATTCATGCTTATTTGTACTTATGATGACATTGGAGTCATCATACACAATCCGATTTCCAGTACTGTTTGTACTTGCAAAAGTTCTGAAGTGGACACATTGTTTTGTTCCATTCAGTGCACATCCCATAGCTTCCTGTTCAAATCCTATAGCTTGTTATAGCCCAAATGTTCAGGTGCGTGTTGCTTTTGTTGCACCACAGTATATACAATGTATGGATGTAAATTTTATGAAATAAACAAATGTACCTGTCAGGGTCTGGACTGAGGAGGAATGGTAGGCGCCAGCCCCCCCGAACCTTCCCGAGAACAGGAGGACAGTATAGATTTAGAACAGTGGTCTGCAGAAGGACATAGTTCAGAGACAGCAGAGGGGAAATGCTGGGGAATATTGGGAGAGGAACAGCAGGAAGAAGAAACACCGGGGGACAGGCTCAGAATCTTTGGAAAGCATTCCTGAGCCCCTCTCTCCCAGGACTAGGCATGCATTGAGAGTACTAGAACAAAAAGCTCAGAGGCAGAAAGCCCATATCAGCTGGTGCAGGGATGATGTAGGATAAGAAAGATGGAGGTGGTTGGAATTTACCTGGAGTAATGCCATTAATAGGGACTACATTCCTTTCTCTCTGTGTGTGAATTCTGAATAAATTACATGGTAAGGACTCTTCTTGTTTATCTGCTTTTTTGGCTGCCACTGGGGGAGGGATAGGATTCCCTGAATCTTGACAGTATCCCTCCGGATGGCAATAATGTAATAACACTGAGGAAGTATTGGGGAACAACTAATAAGGCTGAATTCTGCCACTAATGTGCAGTTACTGCATCAGCAACATGTTGCAGCATATGCCTGCAAAACCCCACACAAAACAAGTTGCAGGTGCCCTAAGAGATATTGCAACCATTCCTTAAGATAATTACTCCAAAAGAAGTTTCATTGCCTAATTAAATAACACTTTCTTTGTGCCTTCAGCTGGTTGAGAAATATGGCCCTATGTTCACAATCTGGATGGGACCCAAACCTATGGTCGTGCTTTGTGGATTTGATGTGGTAAAAGACGCTCTGGTGGATCATGCTGAAGCGTTTGGTGGGCGTATTAACAGCCCCATCATTGATCGAGTGACCAAAGGCCACGGTAGGCTATTTCTTCTTACTTTTTATGTATTGTTTAGCTCTACTTTGATTTGTAATGCAGTCCCCCAAAATGTGCATGATAATTAGCATCATGTCTAGGAAAGAAAGAAAAGAAAGAAAGAAAGAAAGAAAGAAAGAAAGAAAGAAAGAAAGAAAGAAAGACAAACACTATCAAGCAAGGCATTATTTTTTTTCTGTGGCTTGCTTCTCCAAAGAACCATTTTTGAAAATCAATTCCCCCCAAAGAAGCTGCTTTTTTTGATCCAGGGAAGCTGTCCCTTATGCAATCACTTAAGAAAATAAATAAACATCAACCATTTATTGAGTCTGCAAACTGAAAATAGCAACCGTATACGTTGCTACCTCTCTCCAGTGCCAATAACATGTCATTCTGAACATGGGTGACATGATTTCACCTTCCCACCCCAACTGCAGCCAACAGTGTGGGCTACAGGCAGGCAAGGGGGTGATGCCATGTCTCTTACCATCCATTATTTACTTTGTTATGTGGCACTGGACATACCTATTTATGCAACCAAAGAAACAAAAATCCCTTACACAACAAGGGACTGGGCTCTTGGGGGCAACAATTAGTTGCCGGATTGTAACTACAAATGGGGATATAATTTTAAGGTGGAAAGCACCAGAACTACCTTTTCATGTAGAAACTTCCTGCTGGTTCCTGTTGGGTCAAGAACTGACAGAATGACCTTCACCTCTTTTCCCCCCCAGGGATAGTTAACTCTAGTGACATAGAATGGAGAGAGCTGCGCAGATTCACGGTTATGACACTGAGAGACTTTGGAATGGGGAAGAGATCCATGTCTGAGAGGGTGCAGGAGGAAGCTGTGCGTCTGGTGGAGGCATTGGCAGCCACAAAAGGTAATCTAGCTCATTAAAAAATAAAACTGATAAAGCACTATCCCAGGGCAAGGAGAGGATATTTATTAAATTGAATATAGGAATGGGCACTTATAGTATGTTAGCTTTTGACATAGTTAGAATATGTGGCTGTTAGGCTCAGTGGCAGCAGAGAGGCAAGCTTTTCCCATTTGTCCTTTCAACTCTCTCCACGCTCATGTGAACACCAACTCATGTGTTGTACTTCCACCGTAGTATTTTCCACTAATCCAGTAATGCCTATGAGAGAGAATCTACCTACACTTCTTAGGGGTGCACACTGTGTGCAAATTGTTTCAGTGAAAGTTGTTGGGCTTATTTTTATTTAGTGTCAACATGGCCTTGTGGGCCACCTGAAACTCTGTTGCAGGCAATGCTAGCAGAATCAGCATCAGATAAGTTAATTAAGTGGATGGTTACAGCAAAGAAATGAAGGGGGGTTTGATTATTTGGACTGTGGGTGGGGTAGGTGGCGGTGGTGGGGAGAGAAGGAAACCCAGTGCCTCTTTTTTCTGCCTCTCACCTCCCAAAAATTATGTTTAATTGCAGTTTTAAAATAAAAATTAACACAGCCCCCCCCTAATTGATTTAGGACTGGATACAATTTGAGTGCTGCCCAGGTTGCCCTGAATATTCAATTCAAATTCAAAATCCTTTATTAGGCATATCACACCACACATTATCAAACAAACATCATATACAGACTGTATAAAATACAGGCTCAGCGGACACAATTTATCTCAGACCTATTCTTAACTCCAAGAAATAAATCTATATACATAGATAATATAATACAACACAGCAACATCACCTACCATTAAGAACCACTAAGTCTCTTTATCATGGCCCATTCTTTCTTCATGGACAGCACTTAAAAATTCAGCCACTATTAAAGTAATCTGATCATCGCTGTCCGCCAGCAGGTCCTGAACAGTTGGTTGTGTAAAAGACTGTCTATTAAATTTTAGGGCCTCAAATAATTGTCTTCTGGCATAACTGCCAAAATCACAGGAAAAGAGTATATGCTCTAGAGTATCGGGTTCCTGTTTTCTGCATTTGCAGAGACGCTCTGATTCTGGGATAGCTAAGTATCTTCCTCTCACTACCACCGAGGGAAACATGTTAAATCTGGCCAACATAAACAGCCTACACGATTCATGTTTCTTAAGATTTGTCATGTATCCCTTTTGGAAATCTCTACACAAAGGAAGATTTAAGTGGATAGGAGAGCAGGTACTGTGCTTTGCAACCTCAAGCATGGCGAGAACACATTTTTCTGTAAGAGTCTTCCTGATAATTTCCCATGTATCTTTGGGATCAGAGATTTCAAAGTCAGTTAGAGTGAGCCCTATCGAATCCAGTTTTCTCCTACAAATCAATGATAGATTGTAGGTTACACTATCACTTAAAAGATCGTACAGTAGAGAACTAGGGGATAGGGCTCTCTAATGGAGGAAGATCCAATATTTCAAGGTCCTCAGCCATGCTCTTACTGATAAAGGCAATATTCCCAGCTCACAACATATTGTTTCATATTTTACAGAGTTTGCAAGTCCTAATAATGACCTCAGAAGGGATGCGTGAAATTTATCCAACCTCTTGAGGTCACCTGAAATCCACACTGGTGTGCCATATAAAAGTTGGGCACAAAGTTTCATGTCAATCACTTGCAATACAGCTGGAATAAATCTGTTTCCTACTGGAGAAAAAAAGTAGGATTTAATATGGTGGGCTGTCACTTTGGCCTTAACTATTGCAGCACATATATGTGTATTCCAGTTCATATTATTTTTGAATGTGATTCCCAGATAATTGAAGTGCTTACCTTCCTGTATTAGATGTCCATTAATTATACAGCCTTTTGGGTTCCCTCTCTTTCTGAATTGCATAATCTTTGTCTTATCATAATTAATTTTGAGATTATGAGAGAGCAGTAGTTTGAGAAACTCTTAAATAATTTTTTTAAACCCAAAACAGAAAGTGAAATAATTACAGCATCATCTGCATAAAGTAATAAAAAGAGTGGGATATTGTTTAAATAAGGAGTATGAGTGGTTGCGTTTTGAAGAAATAATGGTAGGTCAGATAAAAATAGATTAAATAGGGTAGGAGCCAAGATACAGCCTTGCCTAACTCCTCGATTATTCAGAATAGGACCTGCAAGTCTACCATCTTTTGATACTTTAACATATATTTGGTTATTAGAATGTAAACTTTGAATCAGTGTAAGTAGATAAGGGTCGATACCAAGATGTTCTAGTTTAGTCCATAGTTTGTTGCGGTCGACCGAATCAAAGGCACTTTTTAAATCCACAAATGCCACAAAGAATTTTCGTTTATTTCTCATGACATAATTATCCACAAGATGACTTAACACTAGACACTGAATATTGTGTAGGAGCCAATTTGTGGACCCAGATTCAGGCCTCACATCAGGTCGGTGTCAGGGGTACAGCTGCACACTTTACTACTACTTTTAATTTCTTAAACATTTGGTTCTTGGCACTGATGGAAATGCAATCTACCAGGCTCAAGCTGTTTAAACAGTTTTTAGACTTAATTTTGTATTGGGGTTTGAAGATGGTGGGCTCCACTTTCATCAGGCCTTGCTAACTGTCTTCGGTTCCTCCTACAGGACAGGGCTTTGATCCGACAACTAGAATCACATCCGCTGTTTCCAATGTGATCTCATCAGTCATCTTTGGGACTCGCTTTGACTACGCAGACAAGACCTTCCTAGAGCACCAACGCATTATAGAAAATGAAGTTGGCCTTTTTCGTACTATCTTGGGGCTGGTAGGTTGTTCCTTCTGAGTTGCAAACATTTCCCTCACTATCAGGAAAAGGAAAAACAAAACCTAGCTTGTTGGAGTATGAATGATGGCACGAAGGGATCAGAACTGTGTGCCTGCCTAACTATCAGATGAAAATAATGTTCTGAAAATGTCTTCCACAGGGTTGAGATGGAAACTAACACAGCCACAAAGTTCCAATGATTTCAGGGGAGAAACTGGACCCTTGAGCAGGGCAGGCAGCAGAAAAGTTGGAGGACTTAACTGGGCTGTTCACCAATAGCAGCAGATCTCCCTTTCCTTTCTTGACCCCACCCCTTTTACTTTGCCATTGCTCCCCCTCCCCCATTCGCCTGGCCACCATTTCCCTCTGGATGCAGTATTACTGTAAACATTGCAAGGGCACATTTGTACATCTATAGAGGCATAGGACGCCCTCTGCCACTCTTAGCACCTGAGGAAGTCTGCAGGAAAGGAAAAAATAATTTTTTCAGGTAGTTGGAGCCTGAGTCATTTAGGGCTTTAAAAACTAATATTAACACATTGAATTGGGCCAAGAAACAAATTGGCAACGTGTGCAGCTTTTTTAAAACAGAGGTTATGTGAAACTTAAACAGAACCCGAACCAGTAATCTGGATTTTGGGCCAGTTGACATTTCTGAGTCATCTTCAAGGGAAGCCCCATCATCCCTAGCCTTTAGGAATGAGGTAAAATGAACCAGAAGCTCAGCAGTTCCTGCTGGATTTCGAAAATAAGTAATTAAAAACAACAACTGCTTTATCACTTTTCAGCCAGAATCTTTGTGGCATACTATAAAAAGATGGATTTGCAATATTTAAGGCTGTGTGTGTCATCTTCATTTCAGCTGTACTCTGCTGTCCCTAAAATATTGGACTACTTTCCTGGAAGACACCAAAAGATTTTTTCTGATTGTGATGAGTTGTGTGCTTTCTTCCGTGAGAATGTGAAAGTACACAGGCAGACGCTGGATCCTCAGAACATCCGTGACTATATTGATTGTTTCCTTATCAAGTCTGAGAAGGTATGTGGGTCAAAAAATTTATTTGCACTGGCATGGGTGCCCAGTTATGTCCTAGTCCATGTGGGGAAGGGATACCAGGCCAACCAGAGTGCCCCTCTGTCTTTGCCTCCTCCCCTAGCAACTTCTCTCGGCCACTCCTTGCAAGGCATTGTTAATTATTATAATTATTCATTAGGCTGAGGTACCCGGTGCCCAGTTTTAAAGTCTATGCTTAATGTTGTACTAAACAATGCAAGTACTTACAATAAAAATAAAATTGGTTCACTCACTTTACAGCCTATATGAGTACCATGGACAGTTACTTTGCCCAAACAAAAATACATAACCAGTTATTCTTTTTTTTACTGCCATCACTCCTATAATTTCTGATCCCATATATTTTCAGATATACAGTGGTACCTTGGGTTACAGACGCTTAAAGTTACAGATGCTTCAGGTTACAAACTAAAAAATAGTACCTCGCGTTAAGAACTTTGCTTCAGGATGAGAGCAGTAATCGCGCGGCGGCAGCGCAGCAGCATTGGGAGGCCCCATTAGCTAAAGTGGTGCTTCAGGTTAAGAACAGTTTCAGGTTAAGAACGGACCTCCAGAACGAATTAAGTTCTTAACCAGAGGTACCACTGTATATAATCTTGGTTAGCTCTAACATTCCAGTAATCAAACAACACAACGTTTGTAATGCAATGATATGCAAGTGCTTTTCTTTATATTTCAAAAGTAATTCTATTTAAATACATGTGATTGGATTAAACACCTCTTGGGGTGAGTGCAGGATTTCACCCATGATGCTCATTCGAACAGGCTAAGCTGTCTCCATTTTGCCATCTTTCTTTATAGTGAATTTTCTCTCTCTCCCCCCCCCTTTCCCTCTGCCTCATAGGAACAAAGGTGTGCTAGTGACACCTTCAGAACCGAAAACCTTGTCATGACAGTGTTTGGACTTTTTTTGGCTGGGACAGGAACCACAAGCTTTGCCTTGATCTCTGGCCTCATGGTGATGGCTAAGCTGCCACATATTCAAGGTATTCAGATACCCCAGAGAAGTTTAAAGTGGAAGGGTTTTGAGGGCTCCCTGGTGTCTTCAAATGGCATTTATGTCCAGGGGTAGGAACATTGCCAGAAGAGATGGGGCCTCAGAATTCTGGAAGCACATTTTCCAAATGATATTTGTTACAGGAGAAGTCCAGCAGGAGATCAACAAGATGGTAAGGCACAGAGGAATGAGTGGAAATCACTCAAGAGGAGAATTTGTGTTGGCATGAGTTTTCATGATGTCGGAGAGTGCCCAAGTTTTTCACTCTGTCAGATGAGAAGCAGAATCTGAATCCAGGAAATACATCTCTTGAGTCTTTTTCATTACAGCAAAAGTCCAACAGGAAATTGATGAGGTGATGAGTGCCACCCGTGCCCCTAGCATGGAAGATCGTGTGAGGATGCCTTTCACCAATGCAGTTATCCATGAGATTCTACGATACCCACCATCAATTAATGAGACCATTCCCCGTACAACGTCTTGTGATACCAAATTCAGGGGGTTCACCTTCCCTAAGGTATGACGGCCCAGCATTTTGCCATGATAATTGTGGAGAAGAAATGGTGCAGTTCTAGGAACTGATTGTATAAAGGGCCCTGGACTGCCCTCATGGGAGGCAGGGATGAGAACAGTAGTGGAGATCAGTAGTGGAGATCAGTAGTGATTTTGTTGGCCTAAGCAAATGAGCTGAAGGAACTAGTAATAGAGGAGAATTTTGTTTGTTCGATTCACATTTAAAATGAACCAGCGGAATTAGTATTTCACAGAACTATGCATACAAAATGTATCTTTTATGGGGAAAATGTGTACTAAAATCAATGGTTTAGTGGGAAAATGCACACAGAAGCACAGAAGAAAGCACACAAAAATATATTTTAGATTGAGAATGGGTACATAAATGTGTAGTTTAGGGGAAAGTGCATACAAAAAGATGTAGAATATAAATGCTAGTGTTTGGTGAGGTTTTAAAACAGAAATTGTCTGATGGGATGGAGCAGAATTATGACTGAATGCTGGTGGAACTGTCACAGAACAGAACTATAATGATCCATCTGCCCCCGAAAGAAGCTGATAGATGCAGCAAGCTATTTATGCTCCAGTTTCATAATTTCTTAAAAAGGAATTCTACTGGTCATATTGATTGGAATGGAATGTAAGGCAGTGTGTACTTGAGGACTAATACAGGAGTGGAACAGAATAAATCCGCTCATCCCTAGTGGAATCCCATTCTTCTAAGTTAGCATCCCCATTTTATCATTTTATCATAGTATGGCTATTTCCTAGATAGTCATGAATTGAGACCAAAAATGTAAACCTGCCATTTTCTATCCCTGAAGGGCACAGCTGTTGCTCCAATGTTCACAACTGTGCACCGTGACCCTCTCCAGTGGGAGACTCCAGAACAGTTCAATCCTGGACATTTCTTGGATGAGAAAGGCCAGTTCAAGAAGAAAGATGCCTTAATAGCCTTTTCGGCAGGTAACTATATGAGCCTGTGGTAACTTATGTGCAAACAATGCCATTTCCATTTTCTTTCAAGAGACAGTGTAAGGAAAGAGATATGGCTGCGCTGTGGTCTAAACCACTGAGCCTCTTGTGGTTCCCAATCAGAAGTCAGCGGTTTGAATCCCCGCGGCGGGGTGAGCTCCCATTGCTCGGTCCCAGCTCCTGCCAACTTAGTAGTTCGAAAGCACACCAGTGCAAGTAGAACTGCATCAGAAAATCTGTACAAGTGAAAATTTTGAAGATTGGTTGTGTTTCTGTTCTCATATGGTTTCAGAAAGGGTGCATTTGATAGACTGAACTTTAAATGTGAACTGAATCTCATGTTTCCCCAACTCTATGTCAGGCCAATCATAATATTATTAGTCTTAGTCTTACTCTTAGTTTTAGTCTTGATTTTAGTATTCCTCACCTTTTCCCATAATGTGACTCAATATATTATACTCTAGCTGCAGTGCATTTTGGGGCTGCATTAGTATTCCCAGTCCCCAAACCAACATTGCATGAATTCACTAGGGGTGGATCTGCACACAGGAAATATAAAGCTATAAATAAGTCAGAAATTAAATTGTTATATGATTTAATTGCATAGACAAGGATTTTTGCTCTCCACCACCATCTGGTGTTGCATGTTTATAACATATTCAAAACCTTATTTTTTTGACTAATGGAGCTGAGTCCTAGGTTTCCTGCACACTGTGTAGATTTTTGGGTTACTGGTTAGCTGTGCCTTCTTTTTCTTTGCCAGGGAAGCGGGCATGCGTTGGGGAAGCCTTGGCGCGAATGGAGCTCTTCCTGTTCTTCAGTACTCTGCTCCAGAACTTCACCTTCCAGCTGGTTGGAGCTGCAAAAGATATGGATTTAGCCTCTTTGTTTACGGAGTTCAGAGCTAAAAATGTCTCTCCTCTGATGAAAGCCATCAGACGTTCAATGTGATCTTGTGACAAAAGATCACTCATTCAACACCTCTCAGTTTCACATAAGGGTAATAGCCCTAGATACCAGGTATTAAAAGTTTTCTTACGAGAAGAGCTTTTGACCTTTCAATCCCTAATGTCCAGTCAACTGTTCATGGGCTCATTAGCACTTAATAAAATGTTCCACTTCATCAACTATTGCATTGTGTGTATGTGTTTTTTAACACCCCCCCTCATATACTGTTATAAACATTTGCTCTCTTCTGCAGATTATATTGAGGGGTTTTTTTGTTCTCTCAAGTATACATGGTTTCTTGATTTCAGTTTAACTACAAGTAGGGCTGGGCAATATCTGGTTTTCAACATCGCAAAATATCCCCAGGTAAATATTGCAATATACCGATATATCACAATGTCTGAAATAAGGATGGAGCTATGTAGAGGCATTGGCTGGCTTCATGGTTCCCCCCCCCCATTGCGATTTTGCATGGCACACGTGCGCACACACATCATGATTCACAATATATTGCCAGGTCAAAAATTATGAAACCGACAGCACAATATAGATTTTAAACTGGTTTTGGATGCTATATTAATATATCGCCCAACTACTAATAGGGATGAAAGTGGATTTTATTTTCATTTTCTCTTTTTTTTAATGATCATGCCCGGATTGGAACACAAGCATTCAAATCAGATTGCATGTCTATAGACCTTTCTGAGGATGATGATTTTTATTCACCCCACCCCCACCCCTTCATTTTAACACGGCAGTCTGTGGGCTTTCTGTCAATTTCCCCCTTTCTTCTTAAAAACTATTTCCAGCCACTTGAAGCAGCTGGAAAGCACCGTGTTTGCTGTGTTCATTGAAATGTTTTAAGTAAAAAAGCCCCTGGAAGTGGCAATGCATTGCTGCTGGCCACATTTTCCTGACTAATTCTATGTATACCACAAAAAGAGCCTAAGTCCCAAGCACTCACTGTCCAAATTGTGCTCACTGTGTGAGGGGGAAGCTTGCCTTGCCAGCTCAAAGCCCCTTGCAGAGATGTCACTGTGACATAATATTAAACTGCAAAGAACTCATGATGATAAGGATCAGTAGGCTGAGTCACCTCTGCAAAGCAAGTCAAATAGGTGGTGATTTTGCTGCCAAAACTAGTGAAGTGAGCACAGCGCCATGCTTTTGAAGGTGAAGGAGCAGTAGGTGAAGGGGCAGTGTTGGTCCAGAAGAATTGTAGGTTTTTCTTTCCATTTGTCAGAAGTGTTGGTCAGATTGCAAAAGTCACAGATCCTTTAGAAGCCTGAATCCCACCTCTCTGAGGGCGAAACTAGATGATGTGCCAATTGCAGGAATGCAATCAGATTCCTCATCTTATCCTCCAGATAACCCTGGAGAAGCCTAAACAGCCTCTGAAAAAGGTAGATGACAAACGTTGCAGATACTTCCAAAACCAGAAATTCCACCTTTCTGAACTTGCATCTATTTTGTGTTTTGTCAGAAGCAAATGTAGAGGTTATGGTTAAAATGTCCTGAATTGAAGGTGAGAAATCTCTTGTGTTTTTCATAGTAGGGTAGTAGAGGGAATTTCAGCAGGTGAAGGTTTTATCACTTGTGTCAAACTGGATTCTTCTTCTACACAAGAATTCTGGCACTGCCTTATGTTGCATCTGGTCATGGTACTGTCAGAGTGATGGGTCAGATTACCCAGTAATTTCTTGTGGTGTTCCAGGAAGCAGAAAGATTACCCTAGAATGGATTACCCCACTGTACCGTCTTTCTAGCTTACAATACTCAAGGCAGTATACAAGCTGAAGAAACAAAGAATGTACACCTTATAACAATCTAATGCAATACAAAAATGTGATAATAAAACATAACATATCCATCTCACCTCCTGGGCATGTTTATGACCACATGCTGTGGTAATTCAGCAAGCTTTGGAAAGCGTTCTCCCTCCCTGGTGTCAGTGGCAGATCTTGGGGTCTCAAATTTCAGGGGCCAAAAATTTGGCACCCCAGCCTCTTGTGCTCCATTATAAATAAAAGCTGCGGCTTCTCAGAAGCTCTGTGCCCAGTGTCACCAAACCCGTTGCATTTCCTTAAATATGCTTCTGCTGGTATGTTCACCTGACATGCACACTGTAAGGGTTCCAAGCGATTGCTCGAGAGCAAGCAGGCAATTACCTGCCTACTTGGCAGTAAAGTCTTGTTTAGCTGCTAAAAGAAACTTTAACTGTCCAGAGCGCCACTCTCCCGTGGCTGGCTCATTCACTGGAAGAATCCGTGAGTGGGCGGTTCTTAAACTTTCCCCAGCAAAGTAATTTCTTGACGCCCAGTCTGCGCCTCCCCTCTCGGCACAGAAGCTTACTGCGCAAGGAAGGCATGGGTAACGGAGGACTCCTCTCCTCCTTGCTTTGCCAAGGCAAGGTGTCTTGGCACTGCCTCGCCTCCTCCGAGCCCTGCAACTCCTCTCCACTGGAGGTGTGGTTGCTCTCCTCCGTTGAAGAGGAGCTGCTTCCCACGATCCTTGGAGGCTGTCTAAAATCCATTTGGCTTTTCCTCTCTCCCTCCTGAACCGATGGCAGTTCCCTGGCACACACCCTCAGCCATTTTTCACCTCAATGAGCATGCCAAGTCTAAAGGCACTCCAAGGACCCACCCCTCAAAGGCAGAGTCCATGGAAGGTGAATAAAGAGTGTCCTCAACCCAATAGTGCCTCAGACACTGCAGAAACCTTTTCTTAAATATTCTCACTTACCTGGGCTAAATGCCAATTGCGCCAAATTAAGGAAACACTTCTCCAGTCCCACAGGGTGAATTCAGTGGAGAAAAAACACAATTGCAGAAAGATCAGGGCAGCTAGATGCCCAGCAAGAAAAAAGATAAATCGCTAATCTTGGCTTATGGCCACTCCCCGTACATGGGGCAATGCAGCTAAGAAAGCCTTACTTGAGATGCATAGCAGTCAGCAGGTGAGAGCCACATCTATGAATTACAAACTGATCAGTAGGTATGTCAACACACTAAACTCCTGTATAAAAATGAGCAGGAACATAAAGTCACAAAAATGGAAACTGCACTAAAGGTCTGTCCAGCTCAGTATTGCTGACTTTGACTCACACCAGAAAAGAAAATGTTTTCCCTGGCTGACTTCACAATAAATGTGCATCAGTGCACAGCCTCCATGCACGACATCTCACATTTCCAAGGTTTAGGGGGTTACCTCGGAGTTCAGGTCAGAGTGATGTTCTTTTAATTATTAGCTCTTGCTAATAATTAAAAATCACATGGAAAAGAATAAAAACAGGGTTGGAATGTTAGAGATATTTCAGAGACAGGTTTGGCTGGGTCTCCAGCTGACGGCATTCCTTCCTTCCTGACTTTCTTAAGCATTTTCTTTGATTTCTGGCCTAAAGAAGAACTCAGTGAAAGATGGAGGTGGTTGGAGCAGGAGCTCTGCTCCTTCTCTACCTGTTCTTCGCTGTACTCTTCTCCTCCTTCAAAATGTACAAGAAGAAAAGCCAGCTACCCCCAGGACCCACTCCCTGGCTCTTGCTGGGAAATCTCCTGCAGAAAGATGTCCTGCCTCTCTACAAGTTCTATACAAAGGTGAGTTTCCCTGTCCATAAATGTCAATAGGATTTTGCCTAGAATAGCAGGACAGAGAGAGGAGGACATAAATTTAATTTCTTCCTTGTCTGGTCTGTGTATATCTGCTTGAGTCTGCTGCTTTGAGAAGCCTTCAGTTAACAGAATGGAGCTTATGATAGGAAAATTCCTATCCTTTTTGTCTTTTCCCATGCTAGAAGGCTCTAGAGAGTATGGGGATCCATATGAACCAACCTGGGCCATGTGATTGTCATCCGAGGCCCTTCTTTTGTGCCTTCTCTGTGAGAACTCCATAGGGTGACAACATGAGAATGGGCCTTTGCTGTGGTGGCTCACCATTTGTGCAATGCTCTATCCAAGGAAGCTCACCTGGGGCTTTCTTTTTCTTTTTTTTTTTTTAAATTCTTTTATTAATGTTCCTTTATCACTACACCAACGAAACTTTACAAAAAAAAAAGAATACAGAAAAGTAAAGAAAATAAACAAGTAAACAAACAAACAAACACACAAAACAAATTACAACAAAAAACCCAAAACACATTTAAAAATTTACATACAACACTTAACAACCAACCTCTACCTCCTTCCTTACTGATTTTGGGTGTACGTTTTTATACATTACACTTTACAGCTGGTGTTGGTTTTTTGCTTACGCGTCGAAAGTTTTATAATAAACCTGCTATAGTTGGTAAATTTCCGTAGTTGCTTTCCATGTATGCTGAGAATTTAATCCATTCCTCATTTAACTTTGCTTTTTTTTGATTTCTAATTCTTTGTGTCATTTTTGCCAATTCTATGAAGCCATATAGTTTCGTTTGCCAATCCTTTACTGTTGGTAAAATTGTATTTTTCCAGTTTTGGGCAATCAACATTCTGGCTGCTGCTGTTGAGTACTGAAATAGGATTTTATCTTTATCCTGTATCTCATTCCCCACCATCCCTAACAAGAAGGCTTCGGGTTTTTTAGGAAAATTGTATTTAAGTATTCTTTTTAATTCGTTGTATATCTGATTCCAAAACTTTTTAACTTCCTCACATGTCCACCACATGTGAATGAAGTTGCCTTCTTTTATTTTACATCTCCAACATTCCTTATTGCCGGTCTTATACATCCTATTTAGTTTTTCCGGTGTTAAATACCATCTATATATCATTTTCTCTAGGTTCTCTCTTATTGCAGCACTTGCCGTGAATTTTATTCCCTCCCTCCAAAGTTTTACCCATTTTTCGTGCTCAATGTTATGCCCCAAGTCTGTCCTCCATTTAACCATGACTTCTTTGGTTTCTTCTTCCTTTGTGTCCCATTCTAGTAGAATGTCATACATTTTGGACACTATCTTGGTTTTAGCTTCTATTATTTCAATTTGGAACTTGGATTTTTTCCCATTCATTCCTGTTTTTTTATCTTCCGTCCATAATGCATTAATCTGATGGTATTGTAGCCAGCCCTTTAGCTTCTCCTTTAACTCCTCATACGATTTTAACTTCCAGCTATCTTGTGATCTAATTAGCAAATCCTCATATGTCAATTTAGGTTCTTCCACATTTATCCTTCTGATTGATAGAATGTTTGTGGGGGATAGCCACCAGGGTGTTTTCTGTTCTAACATTTTTTTATATTTTTGCCAAACTTCATAGAGGGAACCTTTAATGATGTGGTTTGTAAATCCTTTGTGCACCTTCCCTTTGTTTAACCAAAGGTAGGCGTGCCAGCCAAACCTATTGTCTACTCCTTCTAGATCTAGTAAATCGGAGTTCTCCAGGGTTATCCAGTCTTTAACCCAGCATAAACAGATTGCTTCGTAATATAATTTTAAGTTGGGGACAGCTAGTCCTCCTCTCTCCTTCTTATCTGTAAGCAATTTAAATCTGATCCTGGGCCTTCTGCCTTGCCAGATAAATCTCGAGAGTATTTTTTGCCATTCTTTGAATATTTTGGGTCCTCTTATAACCGGGATATTTTGAAATAGGAACAGCATCCTAGGTAGTACATTCATTTTTATTGCTTCCATCCTGCCTAACCATGAGAGTTTAACTTTACACCACACATCCAGATCTTTTTTAACTTGGTTCCATGTTGCTACATAATTATCTTCAATTAAATTTATATTTTTTGATGTAAGCCAGATTCCCAGGTATTTTACTTTACTGGCAACCTTAATTCCAGATTCTCTCTCTAATTTCTCTTTTTCTTCGTTATCCAAATTTTTTGTCAACATCTTTGTTTTAGCTTTATTTAATTTAAAACCTGAGTGTTTCCCATATTCTTCTACTGTCTCCAGGGCTTTATTAAGACTTTCTTGTGGTTCTCCCAAAGATAAAATCAGGTCGTCCGCATAAGCTTTTAATTTGTACTCTTTTGAACCCAGTTTAATCCCTTGTATCTCTGACTTTGATCTTATTTTATTTGCCAGGATTTCAAGAACCATTATAAACAAAAGTGGGGAGAGAGGGCATCCCTGCCTCGTTCCTTTCTCAATTTTAAATCTACTTGTGAGGTTGTTATTTATAACCAGCTTGGCAAATTGGTTCGAGTATATTGCTTGTATTCCTTTCAGAAACTCGCCTTCTATCCCTGCTTTTTCCATAGTTTTTAGCAAAAACAACCAAGAGACATTGTCAAACGCTTTTTCTGCGTCTATAAAAACTAAAACTGCCGGTATCTCCCTGGCTCCCACTCCCTGGCTCTTGCTGGGAAATCTCCTGCAGAAAGATGTCCTGCCTCTCTACAAGTTCTATACAAAGGTGAGTTTCCCTGTCCATAAATGTCAATAGGATTTTGCCTAGAATAGCAGGACAGAGAGAGGAGGACATAAATTTAATTTCTTCCTTGTCTGGTCTGTGTATATCTGCTTGAGTCTGCTGCTTTGAGAAGCCTTCAGTTAACAGAATGGAGCTTATGATAGGAAAATTCCTATCCTTTTTGTCTTTTCCCATGCTAGAAGGCTCTAGAGAGTATGGGGATCCATATGAACCAACCTGGGCCATGTGATTGTCATCCGAGGCCCTTCTTTTGTGCCTTCTCTGTGAGAACTCCATAGGGTGACAACATGAGAATGGGCCTTTGCTGTGGTGGCTCACCATTTGTGCAATGCTCTATCCAAGGAAGCTCACCTGGGGCTTTCATTACATATCTTGAGGCACCAGGCAAAAACATTCATTGTCACCCAGGCCTTTGCCTAATTAAGCCATCTATACCTTTTAAACTTGGGTGGGGGGGAGGAATATTGTTTCTGTTGTTATTATGCTATGTATTTCTGTGTTTTTAAATTAATATTAATAATAATATGATGATGATATAATCCTCAGAATAAGAGCACTATAGAAATTTAAAAAGTAAAAAATAATGAATGAATGAATAACAGCCATGAATTTTGATGGAGGGTAAAACTACAGTTGATGGCCATATTGAAGCTTGAGGAAATCTGTCTTGGTGGAACTGAGCATCTACTACCAACTTTAACTGGTGTCCCAGCTGTGTCTCTATCTTATCAGCTGTTAAAACTGTCCATCATTACATTTAGCAGTCGTGAATTCCAAACCCTGTGCTGTGTCTAAGAAGTACAGTCATACCTTGGATGTCGAATGGAATCCTTTCCAGGAGTCCATTCAACTTCCAAAACGTTCGGAGATCAAAGTGCGGCTTCTGATTGGCTGCAGGAAGCTCCTGCAGCCAATCAGAAGCTCCAGAAGCCCCATCAGACATTCAGCTTCCAAAAATAGTTCGCAAACCGAAACAGTCACTTCTGAGTTTACGGTATTCGGGAGCCAAAACGTTTGAGAATTGAGCTGTTCAAAAACCAAGGTATGACTGTATTTCCTTGTGTTTCTCTTGAATTTCCCACCATAGAGCATCACTGGGTGACTGGCCAGGAAAGAGATGGGAAAGGGAGCAAAGTCTCTCTCTCCGCTTCCTTCACACCATGACACTGTTATACACTTCTGTCTTGTCTCCTTTTACTCAACGTTTTCCTAAAAAAAGAAAGATCCAGATGTTGTGCCCTTTCCACACAGAGGAGCTGCTGTAGTTGCTTGATCATTTTAGTTTTCCTTTTGGGGACTTTCCCCCCACCAGCTCTACAATATCTCCTTTTGACATTAGTCAACCAGAACTGTGCACAGCATTCCAGATTGAATCACACCATAGAGTTGCACAGGAAAAGTTTTTGCAAGCTTTTGTGAATGTTCCCCACTGCCCTAAGATTGCCATGATGCCAGCTGAGAGGTGGGTCAATATATTTTGTGAGAAAAAGCCTGGCAGGCCAAGTTTGGCCCAGGGAACACAGTTTCTCCACCCCTGCCCTGAGGTATCTGTCCAAAGGAAGCATTGACCAATGAACCTTGCTTGTCTTTGATTCTACTTTCAGCTCATTGATAAATATGGCCCCATCTTTACTGTCTGGATCGGGCCAAAGCCCATCGTTGTGATTTGTGGATATGAAACAATGAAAGATGCTTTTGTGAATCATGCTGAAGAATTTGGTGGGCGTCCTGCAATGCCCTTCATAGACAGAGCGAACAACTATCGAGGTAAGGGGTGCATTGCATTTCTGTGCTTATTTTTGGATTGCCTGTGTTAACCTAGGCCCTGCCACACTTCCCTGTCTATTATGCTCAGCAGTTATGCCATGTTTCAGGTACACAAGTAGAGCAGCCATGCTGGATCAAAATGGATGACATCATGCCATGTTTGTGTCTTCTGTATCAGCTGCTTGGATCTTTGTGAACATGTTTGTAGCTTTAGGTTCGATGAATGGTGTGGTGTTTGCCCTCCTAGGTGTGTGACATCATACTGGCTTCATAAGGAAAGGGTTAACTAAGTGTAAAATGATTAACCAATAGGAACCCAAGGGAAGGAGTTAGAGTTAGAGTTCTTAAGAAGTCAGTCTGGAGTTAGAGAAGAGAGAGGGAGGATAAGTCTGTGGGTTGGGATAGTCTGATGTGAGAGAGTGAGAGAATCTGTTAAGAGGAGTCAGTCAAACAGTTGAGATAATCAGTCAGAAGGGATTAAGAAGGTATAGGCCGGTAAAGAAACTAAGGTTAAGAAACTGACAAGAAAATTATCTGAGAAACCATAAACTTGTTAATGCTTATAAAATAAACTTGTTTATTTGGTTTAATTTTAACAACTGTCTGGACTCAGTGTGTACCTGAGAGTAATGGGTTGGTGGCAGCGGGGAAGCAAGCACAGTGGTGGCACAGGGATCAATAGACTGTAAAACATCCGGGGACCCTGTGTGATCACCAGAAATAATAATAATAATAATAATAATAATAATAATAATAATAATAATAATAATAATAATAATATTTTATTTATACCCCGCCCTCCCCAGCCAAGGCCGGGCTCAGAGCGGCTTACAAACAATAATAAAAACAAGAAGAATGATTACAACTTAAAACCAAAAATAAAATACAACATTAAAATAATGGAGCATTAAAATATTAAAATGTAGCCTCATTGCAGGAGGAGAAGGAAAAGAAAAAAGAAAGAGAGGAAGGGAGAAATGGAGAACTTGGCATTGTGAAAAGAGTAACAGAACAACCGCCATGAAGCCAAACAAAAAACAAAAAACCAACTGATAGCACAAGATATTTTGGCAAACCAGTGCTTGAGTGTGTGAAAAAGTGACCTGTGTGAAGAAGTGCTGATATAGCATTGGCGCAAGTTGCTCCTGCCCCCCGCCCCCTATTCCGGATAGATTATCAGAGGGAAATTTTGTGGGGCAGTCCAGCTCCATGCTCATAGCTCAGTTGGTAGAGAATGAGACTCAACCTCAGGGTCGTGGGTTTGAGCCCCACATCAGGCAAAAGGTTCTTGCATTGCAGGGGATTGGACTAGAAGACCCTTGTGGTCCCTTCCATCTCTACAATTCTGTGGTTCTTTTAATGTTGTATAATCTCAGTGCAAGTGAACCGCAAACAAATCAGGCTGAATGCTGAATAAATCAGTTGTCTGGAACCACCACGTTTGCAATTACAAATGGGAATATAGCCTGAAGGGGGAAGGCACCATCTCTCATATTGAAACTTCCTGCTGGTTTCTGCACATTGAGCTCTCCACCTGTTTCCTTTCAGGAATGGTCAACAGAAATGAGGCAAAATGGAGAGAGGTGCGCAGGTTCACATTATCCACCCTGCGGGAATTTGGGATGGGAAAGAAAACAATGTCTGAGAGGATACAAGAGGAAACCCTTTGCCTGGTAGAAGAATTGGTGGCCACACAAGGTACTCTTGAGCCATACGTCTTCCAAAGAAAATTCTGCCATCCTTCAATGCAGGAAGTGGGGTTTTATTTTGTGATTGTTGTTGGTGATTGTAATTTGTCTCTTCTTACTTCAGACCTCTCCGATTTTAATTCTCTCTTTAAATATTGGGCAAGCTTTATATTCTTCTTGGGGGTGGTGGTTCTATGATTAATTTGTTTTTAAAGCTAAGTGTCAGGGGTCTGCCTCCAAGGGAGAGGGGAGAGACAGGAATGTACAGACAGCCTCCTCCTTTGTTGAGCAGCTGCACCTCGTCAGTCTGGTGAAAGCGAGACTTTAGGAGAAATGGACGACGAGAGAAAGGGGGGGAGGATGCAAAGGCTCAGTCAGGCTGAGATGAGCCACGACACTGCTTCCAGGGAGTTGGACGTGCCTCTTCCATTGCATAGTTTTCACCAGGGAATTACACGTAAGGAAAAGAGGCGGAAATGGGGTTCTCCCGGGCTTATATGCTGGAGGGCAAACAGGAAGAAGGCACTTCCGGAATCTGCTGGTGATTGAGGCAGACATGGATTTTGGACCTCTGCACTGTACACAGTTTTTGTGCTCAATAAAACTTATAAAACCCTCCCAAAACTAACCTACCTATTCCAAACCCTTCCAATCTGGATCCCCCAAACCCAACTCCGCAGATGGCAGGGAAAAGTACACTCCTTTATTTTCTCACACAAAAACCCAAGAATAAGCCCCAAATACCTGCACCTCCCCACCTCAGAAGGAGGACGGGGAATCTCCAACATAGAAGGATATTATACTGCCAACCAAATACGCCATATAATCCCATATATACCAGGAGATGAGACAAAACTATGGATACACCTAGAGAGGGACACAACTGAAAATACCTGCACCACAGCATACCCTCTCCTCCCGAACAAACTAAGGAAAATTCCCACAACACTTAACAGGTACACACAGACCATGCTCAAGGCATGGAAAACAGTAATAGGCAAACTATCCCCAACCCCATCCCCACTAATTCCCTAGGCATACCACCCATTATTCCACCACACAGCACAAAACCTCCAGATTAAAACCTGGCAAACCAAAGGCCTATATCACCTAATAGACTTCTACGAAAATAACAAACTTTATCAACACAAGAAATACAAGATAAACTAGAAGACACCCAAATGCCCTGGTTAACGCATCACCAATTACATGCCTTCTTAAACAATCCAGCAGTAAAATCAGCAGCAACTAGGCCACTGACAACCTTTGAAAACCTCCTTTTAACAACAAAGGGACACGGCAGAGAAATGGTATCCGCAGTATACAAAATACTACTACAAAATCCCATGAATTCCCTAGACGCAATCAAAAAACAATGGGAGGATGACATAAACTATGAGATTAACCCCACTCAATGGACCAAAATGTGGACTATACCCCCCTTTAAATCCATATCAATGAAAAGAAAATAACTCACTCTGAAACTCACCTACAGGTGGTACCTAACACCAAGAAAACTAGCACTAATACGCCGAGGAATCTCACCAAAATGCTGGAGAGGGTGCACCTCCACAGGCACATACCTCCACATGTGGTGGGAGTGCCCCCAAATCCAACCATTCTGGAAAAAACTGTACGAGAAATAAGTAAAATAACCAAGCAAGTATTAGAAATCACCCCAGAATTGGCTTTACTAAACATCTTCAAAGACAATAATGCCCACTTACACCACAAAGAACTCATAACCCACCTACTTTCAGCAACCAGAAGCATCATAGCCAGACACTGGAGAGACCTGTCAGGAGTAGGCATGGACCAATGGTACCAAATAGTATGGGAAACAGCCCTACTAGAAAAATTAACCAATAAACTGAAACTGACACGGGGACAAATAGAAGAAGACACCTTTACCCCGGTATGGCTCCCCTTTATCACATACACAGCCCAACAAGACAACGACAATAATCCACCAACAGCATACAAATCAATATGGCTAACCTGATCCAAAACACCCACCCACCCCACTCACACATGAAAACAAAGACCACCACAGCCAACCACAAATGAATAACCACACCCTGGGCCAACCCCAACCTCTCTCACCACCAAAGGAACACAAGCGAACAGCAAAGAACCTGCACAAGCAATGCTGACACCAAACCCTACATATAGTAAGTGAAATAGAAACATTGCCACCCGACCGCACTCTCACCCATTGGCTGAGGGAGGCGGCGTACAGCTTCCGGGTCATGTGGCCAGCATGACTAAGCTACTTCCTGCGAACCAGAGCAGCGCACGGAAACACAGTTTACCTTCCCGCTGGAGGAGTATCTATTTATCTACTTGCACTTTGACGTGCTTTCGAACTGCTAGGTTGGCAGGAACAGGGACCGAGTGTGGCGATCACACAGGGACCCCGGACGTTTCACCATCTATTGATCCCTCTGCCACCACTTTATTTCTTGCTGCCACCACTTTATTTCTTGCTGCCACCACCCAGGCCCTACCTAGTAAAATACTGAGTCCAGTCAGGGTTAAATTGGAACATAAACTTCTGTTTATTGATTGCAGTTTAACAAGTGTGTGGTTTCATAAACGGTCTCAGTCAATTACAATCATGGGGTGCCTATCCAGACCTATAACTTCTGCTACCTGCTCTCAATCACTAAACTACCTCTCAGATTTTTACCTGCCTTCCTAGCTCCTAACTGTTCCTGACTCAGCTTTTTTCGCTACACTAACTGATGGATCCTGATAGATTTCGCTAACTGATGGATCCTGATAGATTCCGACAAGCCTTGCGGAACCCTGCTCCTCCTGGCGACTCATTAGATGACCTTGTTGAGGACTGGAATAACCGGCTCTTGGCAGCCATTGATGAGATCGCGCCTAAGCGCCCTCTGCGACCCCGTCGAAACCGGGCCCCTTGGTTTACTGAGGAGCTCCGGAAAATGAAGCGGGATCTCAGATGGCTAGAGCAAGTATGGCGACGGACTCGTGACAGAGCCTCAAGAACATCTTATAGGACGCTTATGAAAGCCTATGAGATGGCTATGAAAGCTGCTAAGAAATCTTACTTTGCAGCTTCCATTGCATCCGCTAGCTCTCGCCCGGCACAACTTTTTAGAATAATTAGGTCAATAACATCCTTAGGAGGACAACCAAATTTAAGCACAAATTCGACCCACAGCTGTGAGGCATTCGCGAGCTTTTTTGCGGAGAAAGTCCTGTTGCTCCGCCGTGACCTTCCTGCCAATTTAGATACAGTGACTGAACTGGAGGCCCCTCGACTGACTTCAGGTCCAGTGTTGGACCATTTCGATCGGATACTCCCTACTGATGTGGATAGATTCCTCCAAGTTGGTAGGCCCACCACCTGCCTCCTTGATCCGTGCCCGTCTTGGCTGATTAGGGAGTGTCCAGATGTTGCGCGGACCCCCCCTGGTTGAAATTATCAATTTGTCCCTTGACACGGGGACATTCCCAGGGGAACTGAAGGAAGCAGTGGTGTGTCCACTCTTAAAGAAAACTTCATTAGATCCCTTAGACCTATTCAATTACCGCCCAGTTTCAAATCTTCCATACCTGGGTAAGGTAATTGAGAGAGCGGTTGCTGAACAGCTTGGTAGGTTTCTGGAGGAAGCATCAGCATTAGATCCATTTCAGTCTGGTTTCCTTCCTGGTTTTGGGACGGAGACGGCTCTGGTTGCCCTAACAGATGATCTCTGTAGACAACTGGATCGAGGCGGGTCAGGACTGCTGATCCTTTTAGATTTGTCAGCAGCCTTTGACATGGTCGATCATGATCTTCTGGACCACCACCTCGCAGACGTGGGGATACAGGGCATAGCCCGTAACTGGTTGTGCTCTTTTATCTCTGGTTGGGGACAGAGGGTGGCACTAGGGAGGGAAATGTCGTCGCGCCACTCCTTGGTGTGTGGAGTGCCGCAGGGCGCAATTCTCTCCCTGATGCTTTTTAACATCTTTATGCGCGCCCTTGCCCAGATTATCTGGAGCTTTGGGCTGGGCTGTCACCAATATGCTGATGACACTCAGCTCTATCTGCTGATGGATGGCCACACCGACTCGGCCCCGAACACACTGACCAGATGCTTGGAAGCTGTGGCTGGATGGTTTCGTGGGAGCCGATTGAAACTAAATCCTTCGAAGACAGAGGTCCTATGGCTAGGTCGGGATGGCATGGGGATGAGGGACCAACTCCCTTCTCTTGCGGGGGCCCAATTAGTGCCATTGCCTTCCGTTAAGAGTTTGGGTGTAATCCTTGACGCCTCTCTTTCCATGGAGGCGCAAGTTACAGCAACAGCCAAGGCGACATTTTTCCACCTTCGCCGCATCAAGCAGTTGGTCCCTTACCTTTCCCGCCCTGACCTGGCCACAGTGATCCATGCGACGGTCATCTCCAGGCTTGACTACTGTAATTCGCTCTACGCGGGGCTGCCCTTGAAGCTGTCCCAGAAACTCCAGCGGGTACAGAATGCTGCAGCGAGGCTCCTCACGGGGTCTTTGCCATGGGAGCATATTATTATTGACCTAATTTTTAATTGATATGAAAATGTTCTAGAGGCAGGCATGACAATAAGTATTTCTCAAATATATTAACTTACTACAAAAATATTCTGTTTCCTTCATCCATATCCTATGTCCAAACTGGAGGATGCATCAGGTAAGAAACTTGTGACTGAACGTGACTGAAAATGAAGGATGAACGCACCAAATATTGACAATGTTTTCAATAGCAGATATCGATTGCACATCGGTTATTTGTACCATGCAGTCTAAATTAATGCTTCTTTTCACAAGGGTGATTGCTTCACTATCTGTGTTGTAACACACTTCCTGCTCATCCAGACTGGCAAGCTCAATGTGACTTTCAGGTCGGCTTGTTCATTGGCCATGAAAGCTCTCCCAATTTCTTCAGTCTTTGTATGATTTGCTGCACTACATTTGACAAAGGTAGATAAGGCAGTGGAGAGTTATATATTTCCTTTCAGGGTGGGTGCGTGGCTCACTTGATTTCAGTCAAAACTTGGTGGCATATTCAGAATTTATTTGCTGTGAAGTAGAGCAATTACTTCTAGATGCTGGTTGAAATCAGGAGATGCCAGCTCAGATCTGACTAGGAATCTACTCACCGAGGGGTCTGGCCTACCATCCTTACCAGCATTAGGATGGCCATGGATGGATAAAAAGGTGAGGTTGTCCGTGATGGGAAGATGGTGGTGTTTGAACATGGATATTATGGTTTAATAATATCATTTCATGGCTGCGTTAAAGAAAATGTACATTGTTGTCAGTAACATGTAATTCTGTACCCAACCTTGATGTTGAAGACATAGAAATTAACCTATTTTCAGCCCAGGTCTAGAGCTTATGTTGATGATTAACCCATCTTTCCTAGTGGAACACATACTGGAAATAAAAGAACTAAGATTATCTGGAGAAGGTTGGAGTTGGAGTTGGGGTTTGGCTGGGGCTCTAATAAGCAGCTGTGTTTTCACCTTGTCTTTCTTTAGTAGTTTCCTGGATATATTTGACCAAAAGAAGAGCCTTAGAGGAAGATGGAAGTGGCTGTAACAGGAGCTCTGTTCCTTCTTTGGGTTCTCTTCATCTTCATTTCCCATTCCTTAAAAATGTACAAGGAGAAAAGCCAGCTACCTCCAGGCCCCACTCCCTGGTTCTTCCTGGGGAACCTGCTGCAGAAAGATGTCATGCCTCTGAACAAAAACTATTCAAAGGTAAAGCCGTTTCTTGTTGCGGTTTCTCTCTGTTCCCTTGTCCCTGTGGCACGGCATAAACAACCATTGTCTGGAATGAAGCAATGTGTAGAGGAGGGACAGAAGGTTAATTGTTCCCTGGCTTGCTTATATACTTTTCCATTCTTCCTTATAATAAAGGCATGCTTTGAAGGGGCCCAGATTTCTGCTTCCTTTCTCTTTCCTTATTTTTATTTGTATTGTTTATTACTTGATTTTACTAGGTTTTGTTTACTGTTGGCATGTGTCTATTTTGCATGCTCCTTAGAGCTTCCCTGAATCAACTTAAGATCCCTCCAGACAATTGGTTTATTCAGCATTCATTCTGATTTGCTTCCACAAAGCTTAAACAGAAGTTACCATAAAAAATAATGTCAAAAATTTGGGGGCGTCTTATACATGTATACATCTTCCCCCATTTCCTTAAATGGGAGTCCCCCAAAATAGGGGGCATCTTATACATGGGGGGCATCTTATAGACAGAAAAATACTATAATTCACATTTATATATATATCACATTTGTTTTGATTTGCTTACAGGCCAGTTCTATGATAATGAGCATTCATTCATTCATTCTTCATTCATTCTGGTTAGCTTGCAGGTTGCTTATAGTTATTTATTCACCACATGCTTTTCAATACATTTCCCCATTACTTTCCAACAAGCATTTTTTAAGTCCATTTTTTAAAAAAGTGGATTTGTTGCACTAGGATTATGTTAACTGCATAGACCCAAGATTTTGTCTTGCAATAATAATGACAGTTTGGAGGCACCTAACTGAAGAGAGCATTAAATGAAATAGCAATATTTATTTAGAAAAAGCACAGCAGCAGCAGCAGTAATATACATTAGATTTGTACTTCATTTCATTTTATTTATTTATTAAATTTCTATACTGCTCATCATCTGAGGATCACAGGGTGGTTTCCAACATGGAATTTTGAAACCATTAAGTTGCAAGCTAGCTGTATTCGGCTGTATGTGTAAACACACCCAGTCAAAGGGTAGTGTAGGCACATTGCCAAGCCCTGTCCCTTCCACTGCATGATACCTATAACATGTGAAAAGCTCTCCACTACTCATGGAGACTCTTAAAGAATTTAAAACCCTGATTGTGTTTGGCAGGTCACATGGGAGTAAATAATTGTACTGTAATCCATAACAGTATTGTACTGTAATCCTCATAATTGTTAGAAGATCACTTAAGGCAGTTGTAACCAAATGTGAGGGACGCAGGTGGCGCTGTGGTCTAAACCACTGAGCCTAGGGCTTGCCGATCAGAAGGTAGGTGGTTCGAATTCCCACAACGGGGTGGGCTCCTGTTGTTCGGTCCCAGCTCCTGCCCACCTAGCAGTTCGAAAGCACACCAGTGCAAGTAGATAAATAAGTACCGCTCCAGTGAGAAGGTAAACGGCGTTTCGGTGTGCTGCTCTGGTTCGCCAGAAGTGGCTTAGTCATGCTGGCCACATGACCCGGAAGCTGTCTGTGGACCAATGCCCACTCCCTCAGCGTATAGAGCGAGATGAGCACCGCAACCCCAGAGTCGTCCGCTACTGCACCTAATGGTCAGGGGTACCTTTACCTTTAACCAAATGTGATAAATAACAAGCTGAAGCCGAACCAGGAAGCATGTCAAGAAGCATGGCCCCGTGTTCATTGATTGGCCTGGACATAATTATATGGTTATGCTTTAGAGATATGAAGCAGTGGTTGATCATACTGAAATGTATGATGTGATACCTATTGCAGTGTCATACCTGTTAAAGGGCAGCTAAATTTCTTTTCTTCACGTGCCTGTCTTGCAAAGTGAATCAAATACCTGATGAAGTTGGTGGGGCTGAACATAAGATTTATTTCACAAGATTCTCTTTCTTTTATGGAGGCAGTTCAAAATGTGGTTTCACCTCATTTAGGAACAGCCTTCTAGCAGCCCATTCTCTAAGGAGCCATCCAGGTGTCCTTTTTATTATGCATTCATGCTTATTTGTACTCATGATGACATTGGAGTCATCATACACAGTCCGATTTCCAGTACTGTTTGTACTTGCAAAAGTTCTGAAGTGGACACATTGTTTTGTTCCATTCAGTGCACATCCCATAGCTTCCTGTTCAAATCCTATAGCTTGTTATAGCCCAAATGTTCAGGTGCGTGTTGCTTTTGTTGCACCACAGTATATACAATGTATGGATGTAAATTTTATGAAATAAACAAATGTACCTGTCAGGGTCTGGACTGAGGAGGAATGGTAGGAGCCACCACCACCCCCCGAACCTTCCCGAGAACAGGAGGACACTATAGATTTAGAACAGTGGTCTGCAGAAGGACATAGTTCAGAGACTGCAGAGGGGAAATGCTGGGGAATATTGGGAGAGGAACAGCAGGAAGAAGAAACACCGGGGGAGAGACAGCCAACAGACTCAGAATCTTTGGAAAGCATTCCTGAGCCCCTCTCTCCCAGGACTAGGCATGCATTGAGAGTACTAGAACAAAAAGCTCAGAGACAGAAAGCCCATATCAGCTGGCGCAGGGATGATGTAGGATAAGAAAGATGGAGGTGGTTGGAATTTACTTGGAGTAATGACATTATTTAATAGGGACTACATTCCTTTCTCTCTGTGTGTGAATACTGAATAAATTACATGGTAAGGCCTCTTCTTGTTTATCTGCTTTTTTGGCTGCCACTGGGGGAGGGATAGGATTCCCTGAATCTTGACAGTATCCCTCCAGATGGCAATAATGTAATAACACTGAGGAAGTATTGGGGAACAACTAATAAAGCTGAATTCTGCCACTAATGTGCAGTTACTGCATCAGCAACATGTTGCAGCATATGCCTGCAAAACCCCGCACAAAACAAGTTGCAGGTGCCCTAAGAGATATTACAACCATTCCTTAAGATAATTACTCCAAAAGAAGTTTCATTGCCTAATTAAATAACACTTTCTTTGTGCCTTCAGCTGGTTGAGAAATACGGCCCTATGTTCACAATCTGGATGGGACCCAAACCTATGGTCGTGCTTTGTGGATTTGATGTGGTAAAAGACGCTCTGGTGGATCATGCTGAAGCGTTTGGTGGGCGTATTAACAGCCCCATCATTGATCGAGTGACCAAAGGCCACGGTAGGCTATTTCTTCTTACTTTTTATGTATAGTTTAGCTCTACTTTCATTTGTAATGCAGTCCCCCAAAATGTGCATGATAATTAGCATCATGTCTAGGAAAGAAAGAAAAGAAAGAAAGACAAACACTATCAAGCAAGGCATTATTTTTTTCTGTGGCTTGCTTCTCCAAAGAACCATTTTTGAAAATCAATTCCCCCCAAAGAAGCTGCTTTTTTTGATCCAGGGAAGCTGTCCCTTACGCAATCACTTAAGAAAATAAATAAACATCAACCATTTATTGAGTCTGCAAACTGAAAATAGCAACCGTATACGTTGCTACCTCTCTCCAGTGCCAATAAAATGTCATTCTGAACATGGGTGACCTGATTTCACCTTCCCACCCCAACTGCAGCTAACAGTGTGGGCTACAGGCAGGCAAGGGGGTGATGCCATGTCTCTTACCATCCGTTATTTACTTTGTTATGTGGCACTGGACATACCTATTTATGCAACCAAAGAAACAAAAATCCCTTACACAACAAGGGACTGGGCTCTTGGGGGCAACAATTAGTTGCCGGATTGTAACTACAAATGGGGATATAATTTTAAGGTGGAAAGCACCAGAACTACCTTTTCATGTAGAAACTTCCTGCTGGTTCCTGTTGGGTCAAGAACTGACAGAATGACCTTCACCTCTTTTTCCCCCCAGGGATAGTTAACTCTAGTGACATAGAATGGAGAGAGCTGCGCAGATTCACGGTTATGACACTGAGAGACTTTGGAATGGGGAAGAGATCCATGTCTGAGAGGGTGCAGGAGGAGGCTGTGTGTCTGGTGGAGGCATTGGCAGCCACAAAAGGTAATCTAGCTCATTAAAAAATAAAACTGATAAAGCACTATCCCAGGGCAAGGAGAGGATATTTATTAAATTGAATATAGGAATGGGCACTTATAGTATGTTAGCTTTTGACATTGTTAGAATATGTGGCTGTTAGGCTCAGTGGCAGCAGAGAGGCAAGCTTTTCCCATTTGTCCTTTCAACTCTCTCCACGCTCATGTGAACACCAACTCATGTGTTGTACTTCCACCGTAATATTTTCCACTAATCCAGTAATGCCTATGAGAGAGAATCTACCTACACTTCTTAGGGGTGCACACTGTGTGCAAATTGTTTCAGTGAAAGTTGTTGGGCTTATTTTTATTTAGTGTCAACATGGCCTTGTGGGCCACCTGAAACTCTGTTGCAGGCAATGCTAGCAGAATCAGCATCAGATAAGTTAATTAAGTGGAATGTTACAGCAAAGAAATGAAGGGGGGTTTGATTATTTGGACTGTGGATGGGGTAGGTGGCGGTGGTGGGGAGAGAAGGAAACCCAGTGCCTCTTTTTTCTGCCTCTCACCTCCCAAAAATTATGTTTAATTGCAGTTTTAAAATAAAAATTAACACAGCCCCCCCTAATTGATTTAGGACTGAATACAATTTGAGTGTTGCCCAGGTTGCCCTGAATATTGTGTCGGAGCCAATTTGTGGACCCAGATTCAGGCCTCACATCAGGTCGGTGTCAGGGGTACAGCTGCACACTTTACTACTCCTTTTAATTTCTTAAACATTTGGTTCTTGGCACTGATGGAAATGCAATCTACCAGGCTCAAGCTGTTTAAACAGTTTTTAGACTTAATTTTGTATTGGGGTTTGAAGATGGTGGGCTCCACTTTCATCAGGCCTTGCTAACTGTCTTCGGTTCCTCCTACAGGACAGGGCTTTGATCCGACAACTAGAATCACATCCGCTGTTTCCAATGTGATCTCATCAGTCATCTTTGGGACTCGCTTTGACTACACAGACAAGACCTTCCTAAAGCACCAACGCATTATAGAAAATGAAGTTGGCCTTTTTCATACTACCTTGGGACTGGTAGGTTGTTCCTTCTGAGTTGCAAACATTTTCCTCACTATCAAGAAAAGGAAAAACAAAACCTAGCTTGTTGGAGTATGAATGATGGCACGAAGGGATCAGAACTGTGTGCCTGCCTAACTATCAGATCAAAATAATGTTCTGAAAATGTCTTCCACAGGGTTGAGATGGAAATTAACACAACCACAAAGTTCCAATGATTTCAGGGGAGAAACTGGACCCTTGAGCAGGGCAGGCAGCAGAAAAGTTGGAAGACTTAACTGGGCTGTTCACCAATAGCAGCAGATCTCCCTTTGCTTTCCTGACCCCACCCCTTTTACTTTCCCATTGCCCCCCCCCCCCATTCGCCTGGCCACCATTTCCCTCTGGATGCAGTATAACTGTAAACATTGCAAGGGCACATTTGTACATCTATAGAGTCATAGGACGCCCTCTGCCACTCTTAGCACCTGAGGAAGTCTGCAGGAAAGGAAAAAATAATTTTTTTCAGGTAGTTGGAGCCTGAGTCATTTAGGGCTTTAAAAACTAATATTAACACATTGAATTGGGCCAAGAAACAAATTGGCAACGTGTGCAGCTTTTTTAAAACAGAGGTTATGTGAAACTTAAACAGAACCCGAACCAGTAATCTGGATTTTGGACCAGTTGACATTTCTGAGTCATCTTCAAGGGAAGCCCCATCATCCCTAGCCCTTAGGAATGAGGTAAAATGAACCAGAAGCTCAGCAGTTCCTGCTGGATTTCCAAAATAAGTAATTAAAAACAACACTGCTTTATCACTTTTCAGCCAGAATCTTTGTGGCATACTATAAAAAGATGGATTCGCAATATTTAAGGCTGGATGTGTCATCTTCATTTCAGCTGTACTCTGCTGTCCCTAAAATATTGGACTGCTTTCCTGGAAGACACCAAAAGATTTTTTCTGATTGTGATGAGTTGTGTGCTTTCGTCCGTGAGAATGTGAAAGTACACATGCAGACGCTGGATCCTCAGAACATCCGTGACTATATTGATTGTTTCCTTATCAAGTCTGAGAAGGTATGTGGGTCAAAAAATTTGTTTGCACTGGCATGGGTGCCCAGTTATGTCCTAGTCCATGTGGGGAAGGGATACCAGGCCAACCAGAGTGCCCCTCTGTCTTTGCCTCCTACCCATGCAACTTCTCTCGGCCACTCCTTGCAAGGCATTGTGAATTATTATCATTATTCATTAGGCTGAGGTATCCTGTGCCCAGTTTTAAAGTCTATGCTTAATGTTGTACAAAACAATGCAAGTGCTTACGATAAAAATAAAATTGGTTCACTCAGTTTACAGCCTATATGAGTACCATGGACAGCTACTTTGCCCAAACCAAAATACATAACCAGTTACTCTTTTTTTTACTGCCATCACTCCTATAATTTCTGATCCCATATATTTTCAGATATACAGTCGTACCTCGGGTTACAGACGCTTAAAGTTACAGATGCTTCAGGTTACAAACTAAAAAATAGTACCTCGGGTTAAGAACTTTGCTTCAGGATGAGAGCAGTAATCGTGCGGCGGCAGCGCAGCAGCAGCGGGAGGCCCCATTAGCTAAAGTGGTGCTTCAGGTTAAGAACAGTTTCAGGTTAAGAACGGACCTCCAGAACGAATTAAGTTCTTAACCAGAGGTACCACTGTATATAATCTTGGTTAGCTCTAACATTCCAGTAATCAAACAACACAACGTTTGTAATGCAATGATATGCAAGTGCTTTTCTTTATATTTCAAAAGTAATTCTATTTTAAATACATGTGATTGGATTAAACACCTCTTGGGGTGAGTGCAGGATTTCACCCATGATGCTCATTCGAACAGGCTAAGCTGTCTCCATTTTGCCATCTTTCTTTATAGTGAATTTTCTCTCTCCCCCCCCCCCTTTCCCTCTGCCTCATAGGAACAAAGGTCTGCTAGTGACACCTTCAGAACCGAAAACCTTGTCATGACAGTGTTTGGACTTTTTTTGGCTGGGACAGGAACCACAAGCTTTGCCTTGATCTCTGGCCTCATGGTGATGGCTAAGCTGCCACATATTCAAGGTATTCAGATACCCCAGAGAAGTTTAAAGTGGAAGGGTTTTGAGGGCTCCCTGGTGTCTTCAAATGGCATTTATGTCCAGGGGTAGGAACATTGCCAGAAGAGATGGGGCCTCAGAATTCTGGAAGCACATTTTCCAAATGATATTTGTTACAGGAGAAGTCCAGCAGGAGATCAACAAGATGGTAAGGCACAGAGGAATGAGTGGAAATCACTCAAGAGGAGAATTTGTGTTTGCATGAGTTTTCATGATGTCAGAGAGTGCCCAAGTTTTTCACTCTGTCAGATGAGAAGCAGAATCTGAATCCAGGAAATACATCTCTTGAGTCTTTTTCATTACAGCAAAAGTCCAACAGGAAATTGATGAGGTGATGAGTGCCACCCGTGCCCCTAGCATGGAAGATCGTGTGAGGATGCCTTTCACCAATGCAGTTATCCATGAGATTCTACGATACCCAGTATTAAGTAATGAGACCATTCCCCATACAACGTCTTGTGATACAAAATTCAGGGGGTTCACCTTCCCTAAGGTATGATGGCCCAGAATTTTGTCATGATAATTGTGGAGAAGAAATGGAGCAGATCATATAAATGGCCCTGGACTGCCCTCATGGAGGCAGGGATGAGATCAATAGTGGAGATCAGTAGTGATTTTGTTGGCCTAAGCAAATGAGCTGAAGGAACTAGTAATAGAGGAGAATTTTGTTTCTTCTGTTCACATTTTAAAATGAACCAGCAGAATTAGTCTTTCACAGAGCTATGCATACAAAATGTATCTTTATGGGGAAAATGTGTACTAAAATCAATGTTTTAGTGGGAAAATGCACACAGAAGCACACTAAAAAGCACACAAAAAGGTGTTTTAGATTTAAAAGGGGTACATAAATGTGTATTTTAGTTGAATGCAAGGCAGTGTGTACTTATGGAGTAATACAGGAGCAGACCAGAGGAAATCAGCTCATCCCTAGTGGAAGCCCATTCTTCTAAGTTAGCTTCCCCATTTTATCATTTTATCATAGTGTGGCTATTTCCTAGTCATGAATTGAGACCAATAATGTAAATCTGCCATCTTTTATCCCTGAAGGGCACTGCTGTTACTCCATTGTTCACATCTGTGCACCGTGACCCTCTCCAGTGGGAGACTCCCGAACAGTTCAATGCTGGACATTTTTTGGATGAGAAAGGCCAGTTCAAGAAGAAAGATGCCTTAATAGTCTTTTCAGCAGGTAACTATACAAGCCTGTGGTAACTTATGTGCAAACAATGCCATTTCCACTTTCTTTCAAGAGACAGTGTACGGAAAGAGATATGGCTGCGCTGTGGTCTAAGCCACTGAGCCTCTTGGGCTTGCTGATCAGAAAGTTTGAATCCCCGCGACGGGGTGAGCTCCCAATGAGAGACCTATAAAGTCATTCCCTGGTTGGATGTGCCAGTCTTGTAATTATATTTCCCTCCCTGGTATTTTCTGTGAGTAGGGGATGGCACAAAAACATATGATATTGTTTGAAAAAAATTAAAGTACATCTGGGTCAGGAGTCACTGTGCATGCAGTGTGGAGCTAGAAAAGGGTAAATAAACTGGAATGTTTGGAAAAGCATGAAGTTGAATTCCTCCCATTCTGTGGTTGGGGAACTGCATCAGAAAATTTGTACAAGTGAAAATTTTGAAGAATGGTTGTGTTTCCGTTCTCATATGGTTTCAGAAAGGGTGCATTTGATAGACTGAGCTTTAAATGTGAACTGAATCTCATGGCTCGCCCATCCATACGTCAGGCCAATCATTGTATTATTAGTATTAGTAGTAGTAGTAGTAGTAGTAGTAGTAATAGTAATAGTAGTACAGTGATACCTTGTTTTTCGAATTTAATCCATTCTGGAAGATCATTCGAGTTCTGAAACGTTCAAAAACCAAAACTCAAGATGAAAGCCTCAGTATAGAAGCTGCATGGCATGTTTGACCAGAACGCATAGAAAATGTCCTTAAAGTTATCTTCCCACTTTTCTTGTTTCTTGATGAATGATACCTAACACTATTTCCAGTCCCCAAACCAACATTGCATGAATTCACTAGGAGTGGATCTGCACACAGGAAAAATAAAGCTTTAAATAAGTCAGAAATTAAATCGTTATAACAAATTATTTTATCGTATAAATTTTTTTTTGCTCTCTGTCGTCATCTGGTATTGCATGTTTATAACGCATTCAAAACGTTGTTTTTTTGACTAATGGAGCTGAGTCCTAGGTTTCCTGCGCATTGTGTAGATCTTTGGGTAACTGGTTAGCTGTGCCTTCTTTTTCTTTGTCAGGGAAGCGGGCATGCATTGGGGAAGCCTTAGCACAGATGGAGCTCTTCCTGTTCTTCAGTACTCTGCTTCAGAACTTCACCTTCCAGCTGGTTGGAGCGGCAAAAGATATGGATTTAGCCTCTTTGTTTATGGAGTTCAATGCTAAAAATGTCTGTCCTCTGATGAAAGCCACCAGACGTTCAGTGTGATCTTGTGACAAAAGATAAGCAGAAAGAATGTGATCAGTGGCTCCCAGAATATTTGTAGTAGGTAGAACAGGAGTACTGCGAGGTGCCTTCCTTCACTCATTCAACACCTCTCAGTTTTATATAAGGGTAATAGCCCTAGATATCAGGTATTAAAAGTTTTCTTAGCATGGCAAACGAGAAGAGCCTTTGACCTTTCAATCCCTAATGTCCAGTCAGCTGTTCATGGGCTCATTGGCACTTAATAAAATGTTCCACATCATCATCTATTGCAGTGTGTGTGTGTTTTAAAAAGCTTTCCTCATACAGTAGTACTTCGGGTTACAAATTTAATTCATTCCGGAGGTCTGCTCTAAACCCGAAACCGTTCTTAACGTGAGGCGCACTTTCGCTAATGGGGCCTCCTGCTACTGCTGTGCCGCCACCTGCACAATTTCCGTTCTCATACTGGGGCAAAGTTCTCAACCTGAAGCACTACTTCTGGGTTAGTGGAGTTTGTAACCTGAAGCGTTTGTAACCTGAGGTACCATTGTATACTGTTATAAAAATTCACTCTCTTCTACTGATTAAATTGAGGGGATCTTTATTCTCTCAAGTATACATGGTTTCTTGATTTCAGTTTAACTACAAGTAGGGCTGGGCAATATCTGGTTTTCAACATCGCAAAATATCCCTAGGTAAATATTGCAATATACCGATATATCACAATGTCTGAAATCAGGATGGAGCTATGTAGAGGCATTGGCTGGCTTCATGGTTTCCCCCCCATTGTGATTTTGCATGGCACACGTGCACACACACATCATGATTCACAATATATTACCAGGTCAAAAATTATGAAACCGACAGCACAATATAGACTTTAAACTGGTTTTGGATGCTATATTAATATATCGCCCAACTACTAATAGGGATGAAAGTGGATTTCATTTTCAGTTTCTCTTTTTTTAATGATCATGCCTGGATTGGAACACAAGCATTCAAATCAGATTGCATGTCTATAGACCTTTCTGGGGATGATTATTTTTATTCACCCCACCCCCACCCCTTCATTTTAACACGACAGTCTGTGGGCTTTCTGTCAATTTTCCCCTTTCTTCTTAAAAACTATTTCCAGCCACTTGAAGCACCTAGAAAGGACAGTGTTTGCTGTGTTCATTGGAATGTTTTAAGTAAAAAAGCCCATGGAAATGGCAATGCATTGCTACTGGCCACGTTTTCCTGACTATGTATATCACACACAAAAACCAGTTCAAAGCCCCTTGCAGAGATGTCACTGTGACATAATATAAAACTGCAAAGAACTCATGATGATAAGGCTCAGTAGGCTGAGTCACCTCTGCAAAGCAAGTCAAAAAGGTGCCGATTTTGCTGCCAAAACTAGTGAAGTGAGCACAGCGCCATGCTTTTGAAGGTGAAGGGGCAGTGTTGGTCCAGGAGAATTGTAGGTTTTTCTTTTCATTTGTCAAAAATGTTGGTCAGATTGCAAAAGTCACAGATCCTTTAGAAGCCAGAATCCCACCTCTCTGAGGGTGAAACTAGATGATGTGCCAATTGCAGAAATTCAGTCAGATTCCTCATCTTATCCTCCAGATAACCCTGGAGAAGCCTAAACAGCCTCTGAAAAAGATAGATGACAAAGGTTGTAGATACTTCCACCTTTCTGAACTTGTATCTATTTTGTGTTTTGTCAGAAGCAAATATAGAGGTTACGATTAAAATGTTCTGAATTGAAGGCGAGAACTCTCTTGTGCTTTTCATAGTAGGGTAGTAGAGGGAATTTCAGCAGGTGAAGGTTTTCACACTTGTGTCAAACTGGATTCTTCTTCTGCACAAGAATTCTGGCACTGCCTTATGTTGCATCTGGTCATGGTACTGTCAGAGTGATGGGTCAGATTACCCAGTAATTTCTTGTGGTGTTCCAGGAAGCAGAAAGATTAGCCCAGAATGGATTACCCCACCGTACCATCTTTCTAGCTTACAATACTCAAGGCAGTTTACAAGCTGACGAAACAAAGAATGTACACCTTATAACAACCCAATGCAATACAAAAATGTGATAATAAAACATAACATATCCATCCCACCTCCTGTGCATGTTTATGACCACATGCTGTGGTAATTCAGTGAGGTTTGGAAAGCATTCTCCCTCCCTGGTGTCAGTGGCAGATCTTGGGGTCTCAAATTTCAGGGGTCAAAAATTTGCCCCCCCTCTTGTGCTCCATTATAAATAAAAGCTGTGGCACTCTGGAAGCTCTGTGCCCAGTGTCACCAAACCCGTTGCACTTCCCTAAATCTCTTCCACTGGTATGTTCACCTGACATGACACCCTCAGCCATTTTTCACCTCAATGAGCATGCCAAGTCTAAAGGCACTCCAAGGACCCACCCCTCAAAGGCAGAGTCCATGGAAGGTGACTCAAGAGTGTCCTCAACCCAATAGTGCCTCAGATACTGCAGAAACCTTTTCTTAAATATTCTCACTTACCTGGGCTAAATGCCAATTGGGCCAAATTAAGGAAACACTTCTCCAGTCCCACAGTGTGAAGTCAGTGGGGGGAAAAACACCATTGCAGAAAGATCAGGGCAGCTAGATGCCCAGCAAGAAAAAAGATAAATTGCTAATCGAGTCTCTTGGCTTATGGCCAGTCCTGTACATGGGGCAATGCAGCTAAGAAAGCCTTACTTGAAATGCATAGCAGTCAGCAGGTGAGAGCCACATCTATGAAGCACAAACTTCATAGTCACAAAAATGGAAACTGCACTAAAGGTCTATCCAGCTCAGTATTGCTGACTTTGACTGGCACCAGAAAAGAAAATGTTTTCCCTGGCTGACTTCACAATAAATGTGCATCAGTGCACAGCCTAGGGGGTTAACTCGGAGTTCAGTGACAGAGTGACATTCTTTTAATGAGTAACTAGCTCTTGCTAATAATTAAAAATCACATGGAAAAGAATAAAAACAGGGTTGGAATGTTAGAGATATTCCAGAGACAGGTTTGGCTGGGTCTCCAGCTGACGGCATTGCCTCCTTCCTGACTTTCTTAAGCATTTTCTTGGATTTCTGACCTAAAGAAGAGCTCAGTGAAAGATGGAGGTGCTTGGGGCAGGAGCTCTGCTCCTTCTCTACCTGTTCTTCACTGTACTTTTCCCCTCCTTCAAAATGTACAAGAAGAAAAGCCAGCTACCCCCAGGACCCACTCCCTGGCTGTTGCTGGGAAATCTCCTGCAGAAAGATGCCCTGCCTCTCTACAAGTTCTATACAAAGGTGAGTTTCCCTGTCCATAAATGTCATGTAATGAATAGGATTTTGCCTAGAATAGTAGGACACACACAGAGAGAGGAGGACACAGAATTAATTTCTCCCTTTGGAAGCCAAGGAGGTGAAAAAACTTAATATGGGGTCTAAATGGCCAAAATATTGTGAAATTTTAGAACAAGATGGTGAAAAAGTTAAACTACAGAGCTACGAGAAATTAAAGCCCAAAGTGCGAGACTGGCTTCATTACCTTCAGATAAACGAGGTATTTAAACAGGACAGGAAAATAGGCTTCCAGATGGAGAGGTCAAAACTAGAAACAGAATTGTTAGAACCCAATACTAAGAATCTGTCGAGAATGTATAACTTGCTGTTGAAGTGGAATACTCAGGATGAAACGGTGAAATCAGCTATGATTAAATGGGCACAAGATATTGGTCATGACATTATGTTTGCTGACTGGGAACAGTTATGGACCACCGGTGTTAAATTTACAGCATGTAATGCCTTAAGAGAAAATATTATGAAAATGATTTACAGGTGGTACATGACCCCAGTCAAGCTAGCAAAAATTTATCACTTGCCAAATAATAAATGTTGGAAATGTAATGAGACTGAAGGTACCTTCTACCACCTTTGGTGGACCTGCCCGAAGATAAAAGCCTTTTGGGAAATGATCTATAATGAAATTAAGAAAGTTCTTAAAAGGACTTTTCCTAAGAAACCAGAGGCTTTTCTCTTGGGTATGGTGGGCCAATTGGTGTCAAGAAAGGATAGGACGTTCTTTATGTATGCTACTACAGCAGCAAGGATCCTTTTAGCAAAGTATTGGAAGACACAAGAACTACCCACGCTGGAAGAATGGCAGACGAAGGTGATTGACTATATGGGACTGGCGGAGATGACTGGCAGAATCCGTGACCAGGGGAAGGAGACAGTGGAAGAAGACTGGAAGAGATTTAAGATATATCTTAAAAATTGTTGTAAAATTGAGGAATGTTAAGATGTCAGGGGAATGGGACAAAGAATTGCAGCTGTAATTAATAAGTTAAGGAAGAAATTAAAAGAATTGATTAATTGGAGGAGTTGCTGAAGAAATTTAAAACAAGGATGCAGAAAAGGGGAGGTATGGGGAAGTCCAGGAAATAAGGTCTAAGAAAATGGGAGTATGAAATTATACATGTTTATATGTTTGTTTGTTTGTGTATGGTGTATTGTTTGTTGTTATTTTGTGTGTGGAAAACCAATAAAAATTTATTTTTAAAAAAACAGAATTAATTTCTCCCTTGTCTGGTCTGTGTATGTCTGCTTGTGTCTGCTGCTTTGAGAAGCCTTCAGTTAACAGAATGGAGCTTATGATAGGAAAGTTCCCATCCTTTTTGTCTTTTCCCATGCTAGAAAGCTGTAGAGAGTATGGGGATCCATATGAACCAACATGGACCATGTGATTGTGATCCGAGGCCCTTCTTTTGTGCCTTCCCTGTGAGAACTCCATAGGGTGACAACATGAGAATGGGCCTTCGCTGTGGTGGCTCACCATTTGTGCAATGCTCTATCCAAGGAAACTCACCTGGTGCTTTCATTGCATATCTTGAGGCACCAGGCAAAAACATTCATTGTCACCCAGGTCTTTGGCTAATTAAGCCATCTATACCTTTTAAACTTGGGGGGGGTATTGTTTTTGCTTGTTATTATGCTGTGTTTTTAAATTAATATTATTAATAATATGATGATATAATCCTCAGAATAAGAGCACTATAGAAATTTACAAAGTAAAAAATAATGAATGAATGAATAACAGCCATTAATTTTGATGGAGGATAAAGCTACAGTTGATGGCCATATTATAGCTTGAGGAAATCTGTCTTGGTGGAACTGAGTGCCTACTACCAACTTTAACTAGCGTCCCAGCTGTGTCTCTATCTTATCAGCTCTTAAAACTGTCCATCATTACATCTAGCAGTCATGAATTCCAAACTCTGTGCTGTGTCTAAGAAGTACAGTCAT